TATGCTTGGAGTTTCTCTGAGGGATAAAATCCGAAACGAAGTGATTCGCCAGAGAACTAAGGTCACCGACATAGCTCTTCGCATCTGTAAGTTGAAGTGGCAGTGGGCTGGTCATATCTGTCGCAGAACCGATGCTCGCTGGAGTAGGCATGTTCTAGAGTGGAGACCGCGAATTGGCAAACGTAGTGTAGGACGCCCCGCAGCTAGGTGGAGCGACGACTTACGTAGGGTTGCGGGTAGTAACTGGATGAGAAGGGCTGAAGATCGTGCCCAGTGGCGTGCCTTGGGAGAGGCTTATGTCTAGCAGTGGACTGCAGTGGGCTGATGATGATGATGATGATGATGATTCGTATTATTTTACTTTACGTACTTAAAAAATAAACAGTCTCATAGGAACCTCCTTTTATTGAAATCGATAAAAAATTTGTGCCTTAAAATACCGAAAGAAAATAACTACTTTATTTCTTATTGTCTGTAACATATAGAAAATATTACGGATAAGAAATTACAATAAAAAATTAATCAACAGACTGTAAAACATTAGATTATTAGATAGTAAATTATATAGAACATATTACTCTTTGGTACTATTTATTAATAGTAGTCGATAAATCATTGTTGAAATCGCAACGCAAGCTGTCGATTAATCGATAAATCGTAATAGTCTATCTTTCTATAGGAAGTCCGAGAAGGCTATAATAGAATCGATATTATTACATTCGTGATTGAATTTATAATATTAAGCGACGAATTGCTACGACAAACGCTCAGTGTGTACGAATTTTCAATCATTCGATATGAATAGTGATACTATTGATCAATCTAATGATATGTAAGTTAGATTTGATTGATAAGTTCATAAATTCGATATGGCAAATATTTTCAGTGAAGTTCTAACAAGTTATTTATGGTAATTTAAACATTTATTAAAAATGCGACGCGCTTCCTTCCAACCAATCAGAAACGAGATTTGTGGTCTGTTATACGACACGCTTTCTTCCGACCAATCAGAAACGAGATTGTTCACAGTTGCTAAGTCTTTTAAATACTTTTTTTTCAACTATACTACTATAATATCAAAGCTGCAATGTTTGTTTGCTTGATTGTTTGGTTGAACGCGCTAATCTCAGGAACTACAGCTTCAAAATGAGAAATTCTTTTAGTGTTGGATAGATCATTTATTGTATTTAAGTCTATAGGTTATAGAACATCACGCTGCAACGATTAGGAGCGGAGCATCAATAATAAATGTTGCAAAAACGAGTAAAATGTGACGTAGACGAAGTTACGTTTGTGTTAACTAGTAATAAATATCTCAAATGTACCTTTAATTTTAATTTTACATGATAAAAATGTATACACACCGGCTTAGACCCGGGTGTTGATGTGGGCACCCGTCGTTACGTCATCCATAGTCTATATATATAACTCAAAGGTGACTGACATAGTGATTTATCAAGGCACAGCCCAAACCGCTGGACGGATCGGGCTGAAATTTGGCATGCAGGTAGATGTTATTACGTAGGCATCCCCTAAGAAAGGATTTTGATAAATTCCACTCCTAAGGGGATAAATTAACACGAGCGAAGCCGTGGGCAAAAGCTAGTCATACTATAAGATAGTATGAAACACACACAATGTATATGAATACGAAGGCTAATGTTTAGATGCATCGTCACTTTCGCATGCGTGGAATGAGTGGAGCGAGACACATTTGTGTGTACAAAATATTACGCGTACAAAATAGTGTTGCATTCACCAACACTTGACATTTAACAATACTTGTAATTACCCTATCTGGGAGAACAGTCATATTTATATATTGTTATAGGCACAAAATAGTAACCTGTAAAGTATGCATTTAGACTTCATCTGTCAGTTGATTTGTGCTTATCGTAATAGTCAGACAATTTTTGTTATGATACAATGAACTAAATGGTCGTAAAATTTCAAAATTACAGTGCCAATATTTTTATTATTTTTGTAACATTATCTAAACAAAGGGTGACGTGCAGGGTGATGGCTGCCAGGTGATAATCGCACTTGAAGACAAATAATAAAGATTTTGCGTTGTACACTAAGTACGGTCAGTAGATAAATATAAATATACAAAAACTTTATATATATGGTTCTTGTATTTTTATAGGTACGTACTTAATATTTCTCATATTAGATATATGAGTCACCTGTTGCATGCTATAAGCCATTACTAAAAGAATTTCTATCCTTAAAGACGCAGAGGTTCCACTAGTTCTCAGTCTGTTACAACTTCAGTGATGATTCGAGGCTTAATACTAAACTGCATTGACTCCAAAATAAAATTTTGGAAAATCGACATTAAAGTTAAAACGATTAAAGTCATTTTCCTAAATTTATAATTTTTATAACTCGGATCTCTTTAAACGCCATTCTTTGTGATAATTATTTGATATGATTGAGACCGTTTATTCTAACTAAATTAATTTATAGTGATTTTGTATTGTCTCATTAAGGTGAGTTTTAAAGTGTGAATATATTCTACCTATATGAGGGAGGGAGATGACAACATCCAAATTGTTAAGTATGAGTAGAGACTATATATTTTATCGTCGTAAATACACACTTATACGTAACTTTATTCATTATACTTTTTTATATTATTTTTAAGGTAAGGCTAAGGTATGTACACCTAAAAACACAATAATTGTCATAGATAACATCAATATGAATAAACTGAGAGATTTATTCGATTTTTGAAGTAAGAATTGTACATTAATTACTATACATATTTACGAGAACTTTTCAATAGATGGCGCTATAATTAAAAAGGAATTCATTAGAAGTCATTTTATACCAACAATAAAAAATGTACATCCAGTAACGAAAGTACTTTTTTATAATGAATGGCAAACAAATAGCTTCCCCCTGGAAACCATCGTGATAAATTACCGGTGAACTTGCCACGATGGGCTTATTGAACTTACCTGGTATTCATTTTATCATTTTCCACTGGTGTCCCGACAGCGGAAACCGTTAGTGCAGGTGGGTGCTTTTTTTTTATCATCCATTAAAAATACATTAGAGAGGGGGGATGATTTGATGTGATGTTTTGTTTTATAACTATCGTTTTCCGATAATAAAATATATAGTTTCTAGTATATACTCATTGGTACAAATAGTTTTGAAAATTGAATCTACTATTCAAGCACACATATTTTAGAGTATAAACCTTTGAGTAATAAAATTGTGTCTGACGTGCTTGTAGTCCCAATTTTCATGTTCAAATGTGTACTATACTTAACACTTAACTGCTGAACGTATTCGTGGATAGGCTACTAAGTTGTCCCATAAGAAAAAGCACTATTGACCCCTATTGACCCTATTTACCATGTTAGATTGACCTCCATGCGGCCTGTCTGGTACCTTCATGGTTCGATCCTGGTGAATTCATCACAATTGTCCTAATTTCGAGTTGCATGAGCTCGAAATCAGGAACTTAATTATCAGGAAAGAATTATCCTCGATTTAGCCCAGGCGGGAGATTGTACTATTGGAATGATATACCTGCCGATGTTTTCTTGAGAGACAGCATGGGGTTTTAGGGTATATTGAAGATTAGTATAAAGTTTAGTTTAGGGGTTGGCAACCCGCACGTGGCACCTCTGGTGTTTCAGGCGTCTATAGGCTACGTTAACCGTTTACCATCAGATGAACCGCATGCTAGTCCACTACAATTGTAGTACATAAAAAAAACTGGCATGTAAGCTGTGTAGGTACAGGTCAACTCGCATAGTTACGACTATACTCTTAACGTAAATACTAGTCGCAACCATTCGAGTTCCGGTACGTACAGTTACCATTTCGACTCGTCACACGAATAATCAGCAGTTAAAGTGTTAAATAATTGTCATACAAGTGCTATTGGATATCTCGTACATGCATATACAGTTGATATTAAAACCATTTACAATTTATATTTTGACATACAATTTATATATCCAGTTAAACTCGCACTAAAACATATGAGAGATATTTGTTTTTTACATTGTAACTACACGCGGGGTACAAAAAGTACACAGCTCTGCATGAAACTTATTTACATAATTTTTTATATTAAGAAAGAATGTAACGTAATGTGTAACCCTTTGTTTTATTTTCTGGTACTGCAAAGTACCAGAAAATAAAACAAAGGGTGTCAAAGTTTCTATATGTAGTATAAACTAGGATAAATAATATTTGCTCTTTATTCCACAGCATAAAATAACACATAGAAAAAATTACAAGTCAATCAAAATAATAGAATGGGCGTCCTTATCATGAAAAACATTTTCTTCCAGACGACCTCATAATATTTTAAACTGTAAAAAACTTAGCTTGTGGCTAAGTTACGGAAGTGCAAACTTCATTGCAAACACTTCTCGCATTTATATTATGTCGTAACAGCATGTAATAGCAGTCTGTTCGTATTTCTAACAGTAAATATAATACTTCTTTCCTATATTAATATTAGACTACTTATACTGTGACGGCCAGAATATTAGTCTGGTTAGCTCTCATTACCAAAGGAATTTCATTTTTATAGTAAAAAAGCTAATGCCCACTTGGTGGTATGTGGGAACCGTATATACAAGAACCGCAAATTATTACGTCATCACGTGACATCCGGGGTACACGTCTTTCATTGCCAATCTTGAGGCCGAAAGTACCATGCTTCCAAAGTACCATAGTTTTTACTGTTAATACCATCATAAATTACTGTACCTAGACCTGATCCCATAGAAGAAATTACATATATTAAAGGAATCGCTATTTAGCGATAAGGCCGCCCATTTTTACTTCTGTATTTTATTGTAATTGATTTTTTTTCTGTGAGTGGAACAATAAAGAGTCATTCACTCATTCATGCAATAAATTCAATATGCATGCAAGCGTATCTACGCGGACTTGTGTACTTACGTAATATTTATACATCTACCATATGTTTTAGTACGACTTGTAAATATTTAATAATAATAATAAATTTAGCGTATCTTAGGCGCAGATCTGTCGTTGCAGTGTTTGTTTCGGCGTAGAGTTGCGCCTCGTTTTATTTGCTCCATCAGCGACGTGTGGCAGACACGCGGATCCGGCTGTAACGATAAACATGTATGTAATACCTGAAATAATAGTCGAATCATCATGACAGACTAAGAAAAAATGCGTTAAAAGTACCGCGTTGCGGTTTTGTGGCGTATCCATTTATAGTGAAATTAGTTCATTAGTAAGTCAATGAGTAATGTGAAGTCACTACCGAAGTATAATGGAATTTTAAAAATATATATACAATATGTATTTGCGGTGTTGTATCATAGACGACTCGTATCCTATGTGTGATACGCAATTTAAAATACATAGTACAGAAAATTACTTTGCGTATAACACGCAGTCATTTTCTGTACTACGTATTTTAAATAATAATGTCTTCTAAATAATAATAAATTCATATATTATGTATATACATTACTTTAGTAGAGTTTGCAATAAATTATTGTAATATATTTAATAATATTTCAGCACAATTCAGTGTCTAATCCCAAGTTAAGTACAGCTTCTATTATGGGTTTCAGACAACTGATATAAATATACATTTTATTAAGACGTCCGGCGGCGTGCGCGGGGCGGCGCTGCAGCGTGGCCGACAGCTTATCAGGAACGGTTGCGAACGGCTGCGAACGGCTGTGAACGGCTGTGAACGGCTGTGAACGGCTGTGAACGGCTGTGAACGGCTGTGAACGGCTGTGAACGGCTGCCTCGGACACTGGACGGGGCGGGCGTGTGTACCTGCGCGCGCGCGTTGATGCGGTCGCGGAGCGCGGCGGCGTGCGCGGGGCGGCGCTGCAGCGTGGCCGACAGCTTGTCAGGAACGGCTGCCTCGGACACTGGACGGGGCGGGCGTGTGTACCTGCGCGCGCGCGTTGATGCGGTCGCGGAGCGCGGCGGCGTGCGCGGGGCGGCGCTGCAGCGTGGCCGACAGCTTGTCAGGAACGGCTGCCTCGGACACTGGACGGGGCGGGCGTGTGTACCTGCGCGCGCGCGTTGATGCGGTCGCGGAGCGCGGCGGCGTGCGCGGGGCGGCGCTGCAGCGTGGCCGACAGCTTGTCAGGAACGGCTGCCTCGGACACTGGACGGGGCGGGCGTGTGTACCTGCGCGCGCGCGTTGATGCGGTCGCGGAGCGCGGCGGCGTGCGCGGGGCGGCGCTGCAGCGTGGCCGACAGCTTGTCAGGAACGGCTGCCTCGGACACTGGACGGGGCGGGCGTGTGTACCTGCGCGCGCGCGTTGATGCGGTCGCGGAGCGCGGCGGCGTGCGCGGGGCGGCGCTGCAGCGTGGCCGACAGCTTGTCAGGAACGGCTGCCTCGGACACTGGACGGGGCGGGCGTGTGTACCTGCGCGCGCGCGTTGATGCGGTCGCGGAGCGCGGCGGCGTGCGCGGGGCGGCGCTGCAGCGTGGCCGACAGCTTGTCCAGGAACGCGGGCGCCGCCGCCGCCGGGCCGCCGCCTGCACACACACACACATACACACATTTACTGCGACGTCTGTGCTGTCCTACAGGGTCTATCTATAACACCGGGAACACAGTAGACTAGATACTCCCGACGACAACAAACGGCAGCTAACCTCCGCAAACGCACGACACCGTCCTCGCCGTTGAAGACGACGACCTCGACCACGGCGTCCATTAAATCGACCGTTTAATATAAAATGTCGCATCGTATATATAGTTCAATTTAATAACATTTTACTTGGATTTTATTCCTTTTACGACTCCTCTGCTTTTCCCTTATCACATTTATTTGAGGTCGACGTAATATGTTTTTCTCTTTCTTACCATTTCAAATAACACTCAGTTCATACGTCTCTTTGTCGCCCTTCCTCCGCCCCCATAACCATGTATCACCTTCCTTAAAATATTATCTTCCTTTTACAACTAACCCCATAGAGAAACACAAAGACACAAAAGCTGATAGACTGACGATAAATGGTAACCGTCACCATTAGAAGCGTCACGTCGTCATATGATGTTACTGATACTTCAAGTATTACCATTCGTGAAAACTAACATATCAAACATTGTAATTTTACTGCCCTTGAAACCAAAACACAACTACTTAGCGACAAAAATACGATTGTTTTCTTATACGTATATACGTATCCACGCAGACAACTTCTCTCTTCTGTTCAAAATCTACCTTAATTAAAGTAACTTTGTTTCAATATTCCTATTTTGATTAGTTTCGTCATTTTCATTGGTATTTATTTTATTTAAACCACATACAATAAACAAATTTAAAGCAAATAGAGAGTGGTATATCAATCTTTGGTAAATCATTGTATAGTCTAGGAGTTACCTAAAAATATTGTTTACCTTTCGGCTTCGGAGGTGGATCAGCCGTTGTGATCGTTGATATTGCGCGGCGGGTGGTCCTTGGTGACAGTTGGGGGCCTAACTTTGCACTTAAACTTGCTATTAAGCCACCTTCTGCTAAGCACAATATGTTATTTAGTAATAAATTAATCGAAGTTCTACAAAAGTTTAAAAAATATTAAAAACGGATATGGATTAAAATTTCTTGACAATTTATCGAGTCGAGACATGTATGCTAATATTTATAATATGCTAATTTTAGTACATAATAGTTCTGATAAGTAAATTAGACGTTGCTGTCTCGTTTCATTTTATTTCTTCTATTCGATGGCAATATATTTTTCATTATGTCTTAATATTCTCAAGAACGTTTTCTCACGCCGCTCCCCTCTATCGAACCCCAGTCAAATTCAAACGGAGATCGAAATTACGACGGTAGGGAAAAAAATAAAATTATAATGTAAAAATTTGACGTTCATAAGCGGCTAAAATGTCCTACATGAATAAATGATTTTTGAATTTGAATTTGAATTTGAATTTGACGACCCGAGCCGAGGTTCGAACCCCTAGTGGTGTCGGACTAGAGTCGTATCCGTCGGGCGGGAGTCGTTCGGTGAGTTCGGAGCGCCGCCCGCACTCGCCCCCTATCGTGCGGTGCAGCCGTAAAGCCTCCTGGAGGGCCGGCTGGCTTTACGGTTTCACCGCACGATTGGGGGCGAGTGCAGACGCTCTCGAAACCCTAGCGTCTCAGACTAGAGACGTATCCGTCGGGCGGGAGTCGTCCTTCGGCCGCTCCATAAGTCGTTCCTTGGGTTCGGAGCGCCGCTTGCAGTCACCCCCTATCGTCTGGTGAAGCTGTGCAGGCCTTAGAGCGGTCGTCACGAGGCATACTGACGGTCTGCGTGTCGGTCGGCGCTGTGCGAGCGTGCGGCGGCGCGGCGCACTGCGAGCGGGGTGAGGGCGTCGTGCCGCGACATGTTGTTGAAGCCGGCGATGATCTGTGACGGCTGCGCGTATATTGTGTTGCTTTGCGCGTACTTCTTCTCCTGTTGCAGCTTGAATCCTGTTAAAGTGATTCCGGTTTGAATCTCTCTATTGCCGTCGATTTACTCATCGTTGCGTTGCATTCGTCACATTATTTAGGAGCGGCGCAGTATATTATGTACCACTGATAGGATTCAGTCATATTTGAGCTCATTCTCCTATTTTACATAACATCTTTCACACAATTCATCCATCCACGTACATGTTAAATGCTTTTACACACTTTCATTACATTTACATTTTGATACACACATTGTATACCTTTGTATTAATAAAACGATTACTTCTTTGCCGTTTAGAAAAATAAGGAATATATATTATTTATAGTACTATACGTAGTCAAACTACAATTACGATCAATTCTATAGCTAGACAAAACACAGGAAAATGTACTATTTTTAGTTAAATGTACTTTAAAACTTTTTAACCTGAGGAGATCAAAACTATCACTCCTAAGATTATCCTTTGATCCTTAAACCCTGGCGGGTCGAGGGGAACGGGATTGTTAGCAATGTGAACTAATGATCCCATTGCTAGCAATGTACCATGTCAAGTTGACCTCCACGCGGTTCCCCCTGGAAACCATCGTGATAAATTCCCTGTGAATTTGTCACGTTGGACTAACTAAAATCTTCCACTGGTGCCCCGCTAGCGTAAACCGTTAGAGCAGACGGGTGTACCATTCCATTATCATCCTCAAAAAAAATCCCTGACGGATCTAAGAACCGAACTTTGAAATAGGGCGAGTACAATAGATCTATTGCAGGTCATAGTGCTACAGGTCTTAGTGCTACAGGTCTTAGTGCTACAGGTCTTAGTGCTACAGGTCTTAGTGCTACAGGTCTTAGTACCCAAAAGAGTTTTCAAAGGGATCAATTAAAAAATATATAAACAAAACACATTATTAATAAAAACTGGATCTACGAAATGTTTTAATATTATTTTAAAACAATAAAAAAAACAAATATTTTAATATCACTTTCATGTAGTCCATGAAAGTGATATTAAAATATCAGCAAAGAAAAAGTATATAAATATATCAAATTCTGAGGAAGTAATATCACATAACGATACTTGAAAGAAGTCACTGTTAAATTTTCGATACCTAATGAGGTTATAATATATTTTAAGGGTCGGCAACAACGCACGTGTCATCCCTAGTGCTTCAGGCGTCTATAGACTACTGTAGCCTTTTACCATCAGATGGGCCCTATACTTGACTGCCACCATCGTAGTAAAAGAAAAAATATAAAAATTATTACATGTTTGCTTACCAGTTTGTCCATAATGTGAGTCATTGGATACTCGGGGTCCAAAACTCGAAAATGAATTGTTCTCCCCGTTACTGGGGGTAGAGGGGCTCGAGCCATGTGGCGATCCACCTAAAATATGTACATATAAACCTATTATATACCTATATATGGTAAAAAACAAAGTCACTCCAACTGATTGTTCGCTTAGATATTTTAAACTACGCAACGGATTTTAATGCAGTTTTCAGCGATTGTGAGAGTAATTCAAGAGGAAGGTTTATATTTACAATACATGAACACCCATGCAAAGCCGGGGCAGGCAACTAGTATACTATAACTAAAATAAGCGTCTATTGTAATAAATTTACCTTACTTACATGAAATCTTTTTAAATCTATATATACATAACTCAAAGGTGACTGACATAGTGATCTATAAACGCACAGCCCAAGCCACTAGACGGATCGGGCTGAGACTTTGCATGCTTAAAGCTATTATGACGTAGGCATCCCCTAAGACAGATTGATAAATTCCACCCCTAAGGGGATAAATTAACGCGTGCGAAGCCGCGGGCAAAAGCTAGTTTAATATATGTGTTATTCTTCTGTATAAACTATATTACTGTAAAGTTTTATCAATATCCGTTAAGTAGTTTTTGCGTGAAAGAAAAACAAACATCCATCCATTCATACTAACAAAATTCCACGTTTATAATATTAGATAGATAATAAATAAAAGATACACACCCGCGTTGACATCTCTGAAGAGATCCGAATTCGAGCTATTCAAACTATTCTTCCTAGCATACACCGAATTCTCCACGTAGGCCATAATTCTGTGCCCTGTCTGCCCGTAAATAGGGTTCAAATTCCCTGTGCTGTTGAGACTGGTATTCGACGAGAAGTTACTCTTCGCTTGCTGGAAGGTGCTCAGCGAGGGTTGGTTGGCGTTAGTCTGATTGTTCTGATTGGTCTGACTGTTCTGTATCTGTTGGAGACTGCGTCTGACCAGACCAGGGGATGCCGGCATATGTTTCAATTCGGTTAATTGCTTTACGGTTTCTGCTACGTTTATCGATTGGTGTCCTGAGAAGGAGATTATATTAATTTAATAGCAAGATGAGTACATAAAATAAAATTGTATATTTAAAAATTCTTATTATCTAAGCATGTTCTGGTTCAAAGTGATATCAGACTCAAGATATATACAAAATACCACAATATATAGTATGTTACATTTACATTTAAAACAAAAAATGACTACATACATTTCTTATAAGCCTTATTGAAAATGTAAATGTGTTCTTTTATATATTGTTTATATCTTTCCTTTACTGTACAAATAAAGAATATAGATAGAATATATATCTATCTACATTCTATCTATCTATCTAAATTACCCGCATTTTCGTTATCTGGTTGCAGCAAAAAGGCCGGCGGAGGCGGGAGGTTGTCTGCCTCTGTTGATGCCATCTGTGGGCTTTGTATGTTGCCCTGTAAAAAAAACACATAGGTTTTTAATCTAATTGGTATGGTAAACCAGTCGAACATGCGACAACGTCTCTTATGGAGACGTAGTCGTTTATAGTATCTACATATTAATAAGTGAAACAAAAACTTTGTACCCCTTTTAACGAAAATTGAGAATAGATTTATAATGTTTGTCTTTGATCTCAAATTATGATGGAATTTCAAGCACTGGGTGACCATTAGTACATATGTATCGAAATAGACCTACCTGACCGTAAGCTGGTCGTTGTGGTCTCGATATGGACGAGGACCTTCGCACGGGTGGCGGCGGCTTCCCGAGCGAACTGGACGAGCCCCGGCGAGACCACACTGTAGCTGACAAACAAATTACGACTTAATATTGTTTACACATAATACATATTTTTAAGTGGGAGGGTACTGTTATTAATGACGACTAGTGACTCTGTTGTTAATAAGTTACTATGTTAGGTCAACCTCCATGCTGTTACCATGGAAATTATCGTGGCCACATCGGGCTAACTGACCCCATTCTCATTGTACCATCCTTCACTGGTACTCCACCAACGTATATCGTTAGCGCAGGCTGGTGAAACATTCCATTATCATACATTAAAAATATATAGACATCCGCTCCCAGCCTCCAAAATATAGGTCTGAACTAGTTTGGATATATTAACATAGCGATCGATATCTAAGACATCTCAGTCATTAGAATAGAATAGAATAGAAAATCATTTATTAAAATAAACTTAATTTAAGCACTTTTGAATAGTCATAACGATTTGTTTTTTATCTACCATTCGGAAATCTGTCTCATCACAAGAAGAACGAGCAAGAAACTTGTGTGTTGCTCTTTTAAATAATCTTTGTAAGTTTACATTTACAAGTCGAAACGTGTGAATACAAACTACCAACAAGCGCACTAATTTTTTGGGTCAAATATAAATATGCAATAAGATTAAATCAGTCGTAGTGATAAGAGCAGACCAGTCCCTACAAGCAGCACTCGTTCACGAATATGACCGATGAGCCAGCCATCACTGCGCTCGACCATATTTTAGGGAGCCCAATGACCCGGCCCACCACGCCGCCACATGTCCGGACATTTTAGTGAGAATGACTACTCATTCCACACGACCACGTTACAGCTACAAGCGTCGCACACGTCAAGCTAACATTATATGATATTTTGTAATATTTTATTGTATTTAACTTTTTTGGATGTTCCGTTAAGCTATTCATACCTATATTCATACGTATTCATAGATATATTTTCATAATAGTTATAAAATTTTGTTCCACTTCCTTTTTTTTCTACTATTCTAATGCTGTTGGCCGCAGCTGGCCTTTACAGCTTCACCGAAAGATAGTGGTGTTGCATATGGCTCTATAAACCTACGGAAGGTCTTATGGAGCGGCTGAAAGCCAATTGTCTGACGGATACGATTTAAGTCTGAGGGGTTGCCCTCAGACTTTAGTCGTATCCGACAGACAATACTTTTCGTTTACCTCGCGCGGGCTCAGGCCGTCATAACTTCGATACCCGTTTAAATCAGACAGACAGGACAGAGGGTCGATAGCAGAGATCCTCTACATTTTTTTTTATACTACTCTATAATACTGTTGGCCGCAGTTGGCTTTTACAGCTTCACCGGACGATAGAGGTCGAGTGCCTATGGTTCTCCAATCTCGCGGAAGGATTTATGTAACGGCTAAAGATCAACTTGAGTTGAGAGAACGGGAGTTGAGTTTAGTCGTTTAGTTTGAGAGGGCACCACTAGGGGGTTCGAACCTCGGCTCAGACAGACGTACATAATTTCGATCTCCGTTTGAATTGGACGAGGGATCGATCAGAGGGGGCCTATCTACATTTTGAAACATAGTAATATATATACACATTTCTATTAAAACTTCTGATTTCTGCGCGTTTCAGGACCTTACCTGTCATCGAAACGGGTCGTCGTTTCGGAACCGCCGGTTTCTTGCCTATAGTCGCGAATGATGGATTCTCTGCGACCTCGTCCAGTGACCTCACAGCTTCTTCTAGACTCCCGAGAGAGATAGAGAAGCTCTCGCGTGCAGCCGCGACTGTAGCGTCGCTATCTCGTCTCAACGTCACGATTTCGGATTCGACTATCGTGCAAATGGAAATGCATGCGAAGCGAAATTAAACAAAAAAAATGTAATGAAAGTAAAAGAATGATTTGTTTATGTGTTTGTTTAATGAATTAAAAATGTATTGTTTTCGAATAACTGAATTAGGTTTATTCCTGAAACTAATATTATAGGAAGAAAATATTTGAGATTTCTATTTGGTTTTGAACTCGAGCAATTTTAACTCGTGGAGCGCTCAGCTCTACGTTATTTTACTTGTAATAAAACTTTCTGTCGTTTTTTCTAAACTTTTCATTTTTTCATACTACAATATTTAAGACATTTAGACCATTATGAAAGTTCAGAAATACTTTTTTTATTTGGGGAAAATCCTCGCACTGCTGTCATCAGGTGAAGTTAATGGGTATCGCCGGACTCTTACCGGCTAAAACCCTCAAAGATACTAATTTAAAGAAAATTTTATAATGTAACTTTATCAATACTTGTTACTATTTATAAACGAATACATTTCCATTCTTTTGTTTTATTTAAAGTCTAAAAAACTGAACCATTAAATGCAAGTTACACTACGTTCTCTTAAATATATTTTTTGTTAAAATTTTTTACTTATTTTTATTATGATATAGCATTGAAAAATAGTCATATGTTTTAATGTAATAATAATTTATATTGCTAAACAATGTTTGCCGGGACAGCTAGTTTTTTTTAATAAGTTCGAAAACAATACATTTGTAAAATAAATACAAAAGAAATGTGTATAAATGCATTCAATAATTGCGATGATATTCGAAACAAGACACATGCATCTGTATCACGCACACACTCACTACTAACATAGATGTACAGTCAACACCATTTATTGCATCCTCTAGTATAAACATTTTAACGTACACTTATTATAAAGGCTTTACAATTAAACTTTATCTATAATATAACAAACAACATTTACCGCCAGTAACGCTTGTTTAGAGAATATAATTTATGAATTGTGGCCATGTTAAGTATACACTACAACTTTAACGAATCGTTACTTAAAAATATGTTAACAAAAGTAATAGTTTAAATAATATTCCAGCAATTAAAATTAGAACAAAATTCTATTCTATATAGAGAAATATTAAATTAAAAACAAGAATTAAAACGAATTTAAGTATTAATTTTAGAATTCATAGAAAATTAATTTTGAATTCATTAAAAATTAATTAATTTCAGATACATTTAAGAATTAATATAATGAAATAATTGCGTGTACGAATTATTTCATTATATACGTGGAGGCACGTATACTTACTTCTTTGGAATAAAACTTTGCTATAATTGATTTTTAGGCGTTAACTTTACAGTTCTAAACACGTCGTATATACATTTCTTGGTAGGAAGTGACGCAACAAAACTAATGTTGACTGTACTATAATAAAACCAAATTTATAGGTATATAATAATAAAAAAGTACATTGATCTAAAACAAAATAGAAAGGCCATGCGAAACAATTACTACTTACAAAATATATTAAAAAAAAAATGAAAATATACTAGTATTACAAAAAAAAATCGAATGAAAAACTTTATATTGTACAAGATCAGTCGTAAAGGATAAACCAATTTGATGATGTAAATTGGACTCATTATCCCGCACTTATTCTTATATTTTGAGCCTTGTGTGTATTGAGACAAGGTTGTAATTATGTATGTTTGTTCAATATTGTATATTTATTCAATACTAGTAATATCTAGTGTACAGCTTCCACCTGTCAAATGGTTTGTATATAATTGCAATCATTATAGTTTCAATTTCATTGCAACATACATACATAATAAGGCCTAATGTTGGCAATATATAAAGACCAAATACCTTTCCAAAACATTGAAATAATAAAAAAAAACTCGTTTTGAATCACGTGACACATAGTATTTTAAATTGGTATATCCATTCAGATGAATCCTGTATAATATATATATATATATAATAACAAGAATACCTACTAAGCTCACACTGTTGAAATTCGTATATCCGTTTCGACTAATTCTGTATAATAATAATATAACCTACGCTCACACGGCCTCCCTAATTTCTTATCTACGACTAACACAATAAGGTCTAAAGTTACATACCATCAGCGTGCTGTATTTGGTGCTGAAGTGCGTGATCCTCCGCAGCGAAGGCACCTTGGCTTCCATAGCCGCTCGAGGATTCCAGTGAGGACTCGCTGGCGCTACTCTCAGAACAGACCTATAATCAAAGAAAAAAAAATCTATACATACTGTTGCGGTTGGGTTCTTTTGCGTTGAGATGGTATGTATGGTCAAATAAATAATACGTTCGTATGCAGAAGAATCGATAATTAGGTCGTGTATACTCGTAACACATACTCTAATACACAGAAAACACCCAGAGTGATACAAACAATTATACTAATGAATACAAATACCTGTACCGTGCGTGGAATCGAACCGGCGATCGTCGGAAGTAAAGCGATATAGCACATACCGCTAGACTGAGGCCGTCAAATTTTAGTTACTAATAATGTAACAATTTTTAAATACTAGATTTAAGTTTAAAATATCATTTTTTATGCTATGTACAATCGTGAAAATACCAAATAAGAAGCTTCTTATAACAAGACGAGTATGTAATATTGAGGTGAATAAAACCGTAATCTCGATATAACAAATCTTAGGCCAATCCCAACCTCAATAAACAAACCTCAGTTTAACAAATTTCTTGATATTACGAATATTTACATATTCCCTTCAGATTTGTTATATAGAGGTTGCATTGTATACAGACACAATTATACATTTTATTAATATTAGAAATGCGAAAGTTTGTTCGTACCGACGGATGTTTGTTCCGTTCACGCAATGAGTACTGATCTGATTTTGATGGAACTTTACACTAATATATAAATCAGAATAACTTATAGGCTTAAAATATCAAGCGGACGAAGTTGCAGGCACAACTAGTATATAATATTAGTATTGATCGATATATGGCAATAAAAAAACATTTCTACAACAATTACAACCGACCACAGCCGGGGCTGTACTTGTCATTATTATTAGTATAAACAGTTTTTAAAATATTCCATTCAAATGTCCCAAATTGTATGTATTACTTGCATTGAAGGACTATGTTTATAACTAAAGTATTCATTCCCGTACCGAACAATGGTGTGTGACCATTGTATGAACTATTGCATATTACGACTAAAGCATCTTGATCGTTTACTTAAATTTGCAAATGACATCAGACTTCAATATATGTATTTACATTTTACACACACTCATTCACACCAATGCTCATAACTTTTCGATTATACATCCATTTTTCTAAAATAATAAAAGTAGCCTAAGTTACTTCTTATTACATCAGCTACTTGCCAAAAAAGTCCCTTCAAAATCGGTCCAGCCATTTCAGAGATTAACCGGAACAAACAGACCGACAGACAGACAGACTAAAATTGAAAAAAATGTAATTTTGGTGTATGTATCGTATTTATATTCATATGCATGTAGTAAGAAACGGTTATTTCAATATTACAAACAGACACTCCAATTTTATTTCTATGTATAGAATGTATAGATAGGTACTGTAAGTAGGTAAAGTTAAACACATATATGTATAAACACTTATATATATAGTACTTGTTATAGCAAGTATTTAAGTACGTATATATTATTGTTATGTAGGCATATTACTATTGACATACTATACTAAGTTATGCCTTTTCCCATTACTGCCCTTCAACTGATTTCTGTTTTTAGCCAATTGTTAGCTGGTAGAGAATGCTATATGGCATTAAGCTCGCCAATTGTGCATTATTTTAGATAGTGCCATAAAGAATAAATTAATTAATTAACAGAATAATACTAATATTGAGCAGAACAGTACGATGGGATTGTCATTGTCAAAATTTTGTGTACAAAAATCCACAATAAAAAAAAATAAAGATAAAAAACAATCCAGTATCAAATAGCGTCGTATCTCATACATAAATATACGTAATAGCTTGGTTATAACAACTGAGGGTTAATGCAGCATATCAATCGGTTTGAGATCGAGAGCAGTACAGTTTCGTTATCAGTCAATAATGATTTTCAATGCGCATAAATACACCTGCATATTGTAAGTGACTATTTGTTTTAAACTTATTCCTATTATGTATATTATATAGCAATGTAAATATAAATATTAATAGATATTTCTAGAAATCAGACAAATTTAACGACCTACTGCCGTTAATGAGGTATGCTGCTTTTAGTTTTTATTAACTCGTAAAATCATAATTTTGCGGTAAGCCAACGGTGGAGTAATAACTATGTGAGTTTATGAGAAATAGCAACAATAAATGCATTATTTGCGCAGTATACAATCGTATATTAGATTTTATATATTTGTGTCGTATTCCATAGTATTTATTTATTTAAAACTTTATTGATTTTGTACAATAGGCGGGCTTAACGCTAATAGCATTCTCTACCAGCCAACCTTAGTATTCACAATTTTGTTTGTTTATTTATTAAAAGAAAACCAAGGCTATTTAAGTACATCTTAAATAAAATCAATATAGACGTCATGCTAAGCCACTAACAGGCTTTGCCTAATAACAATAGACTAATTCTAGAAAATTACATCCATACGTATAAAGGCAACGACACATAAAGTTAACAGAGAATATGAAATTAATTAACAAAAGTACAGTACCAAATAGTGAATTATACAAATATATATAATACATATACATGATCTTCAATAATAAATAATTGTTATTTAAAGAAGGGCTCACTTAGTTGGTGTCTCGCTGATTTAATATTATTACAAAATAGATCTATATTAACAGTTTTAGATAATTTATTAAAATTGTTGCTAGCTCGCCAGTGTGATATAGTACGTGGAAATCAACACGTTGAATAGAAGATTGTGCCAGTGTACGTTTTATCTAACGACACGTAGGTCACGCAGTTGCTCATATATATAGTTTATGTAATTAGTGTAAACTAGAGTAATTCAAGATGTAACAGTTAATATACAAGTTACACCCTACTCTGTGTGTTCACTCTCACCACCGCTCCTGTCATCACACCAGAGAAATGAATTCTGCTTATAGTTCGACGACACTAGGGGAACAGATAGGAGAGGATTGTGCCTTGTTGATACTCGTGGTACATTAATGGATAATTTACCCAGGAGATTAGGGCAGTCGACAGCACCAAGAGGCTATTCTCATGAGATATGTAAAGTAGTAGTTGTAGTCTAATAATATTAGTAAGATTAATATTATAATTTCAAAAGTGTGTCTGTTTGTCATGCCAAATATAAATTATAATTTATATAAGTAGGTGGAGTCGGAGATTACAACTGTTTTGTTTTAAATAACCTCTTTATTTTTTATAGTTATGAATTATGAAAACAAACATATATTTCCCATATTACAGATTCGCCCTTATAATCCCGGCCAGTAAACAATGGTGCGTACACACAAAATATTTATATTCATATTTTTATAACAAGCTATGCCCGCAAGTAGTAGTAGTAGTAGTGTAAGTGACATTTGATAGCATTTTTATTTACATTTAATTTAAAAGTACAAAGAAAAAAGTTTCATTGGTCTAACTTCAAAACTGACGAATTTCCATACAAACTTTCATCCCCTATTTTTTATCCACTTAAGGATATTTTTTTACAAACTTGTCAAACAATGTCATGTTTATTTATATTTAATCAACAGTAACAACAACTTAAAAATAAGTTTGAAGTTTCTAGCTTTAAAAATGACGATACATCCATACAAACTTTCATCTTCCTTTTCAACCTTACAACCCTTTTTTCGCATTACAAAATAGCTTATGGCTATCAGTATACCAAAATTCATTTAAATCTGTTCAGAAATTTTAACGTGAAAGCGCTACAGACAGACAGACTTACTTTCGCATTTATAATATTAGTATCCACATTTCGGTCTCTACATTTATCTTTAGAAATAAAAAATCAAAGTCATGTTTGTATGTCAAGAAATTTATTAAAATATAAAAAATTACAGCCCCATACGCGAATCAGAAGATGCTAAAGCCGCTTACAAATCAGGTGATACTCAAGACCAAAGCCCTCTAATAACGCTGGATAACATCAAAACAAAATTGAAAGAAAGCGGCATATTCGATTTTGAAGATTCCACATTGAATGAACGGGAGAAAAAAGAACTTGGGAAATTGTTCAACGCTGTAGAGATTATGGTGAGTCGATCAGTAATTTGAAAACTTGAAAACTAATAATAATAAAAATTTCAACAGTACTAAACTAAAACAGAATGGTCTACGCTGGCAGTGCACCAGTGGAGGATGATAAGATTTAAGGTTTTATTACTTAAGATTTTCTAATCTTATCTAACCTAACCACCGCTACGGGATGCGTTATGACTTTCTCCATTTGTGATCAAATTACGTGCACAACCTAAATGGTCTCGGACAGTGCGGTTTCAGAGGAGATTCTTCCCGCGCTCACTTAGGTTGTGGAATGAACTACCTGCAGAGGTTTTCTCACGAGACTACAGCATGGGGTTTTTCAAGAAGGGTATATTAAGGTTTCTTAAGGGTCGGCAACGGGCATGTGACACCCCTGGTGTTTCAAGCGTCCATAGGCTACCGTAACCGTTTACCATCAGATGGGCCGTATGCTTGTTTGCCACCTAAGCGGTATAAAAAAATTGAAATAAACTTAATGTAAACACTTCCAAATGAGTGGGATAATAAAAAAACATGACTATTCAAAGTCATGTTTTGTTTTCTCCCACTCATTTGGAACGCAAACTCATCACAAGAAGTATGTGCAAGAAATATAAGTGTTGCTCTTTTAAAAAAAATGACTTGGTCCGTGGGGTCCTAGCGCTATAAGACTTTTCAAAGAAATAACGAAAAGGTTAGTCGACATCACAGAAGACCGAAGAGCTAGCAGCTACCTTGGACAAAGAATTAGTCTAGCCATTCAAAGAGGGAACGCTGCCAGTACCTTCGGAACTTTGCCTTAAGGGACCCCTTTTAATAATGTATTTTAGTTATTGTATTATATTTTTTAAGCTTTTTAATTTTAGGTTGTAGTAAGTATTATATAAGGTCAGGTCAGTTAGGTGCATTATCATGCATTAAATAAATACATTTTTTCCACTACTATATTTATTAACTCTTATCAACATATTGCAGACGACATCGCGTTATAGACAACCAAGTAATGCCCAAAACCATATGTTCTCATCATTACGAATAGTCGAGCGAGCTGTGAAGAAACAACTGAAGGAGGGCCAGATATCGGAGAGTTTAGCTTCCAAGTTCAACTGGGATAAACTGTTAGTATATTATACAATTGTCGAGCGCAGTAATGTCTGGCTCATACATCATATTCCTTTTTTTTTTGGACTACTCTAATGACAACGGCCAACAGGTCGCAATTGGCACCCCCTATCGTCCGGTAACGCTGTAACGTTACCGGACGATAGGGGGTGAATGCAGATAGCACTCCAAACCCGCGGAAGGACTTATGGAGCGGCTGAAGGCCAACTCCCGCCTGACGGGTACGACTTTAGTCTGAGGGCACCACTAGGGGTTCGAACCTCGGCTCAGACCGTCATAATTTCGATCCCCGTTTAAATTGGGGCCCCCCTCCAATCGTTCGGAGACGACGTCATACTCGTGAAACAGTGCTGCTTGTATTAATTATTGTGTTAGTAAATTAGTGCTAGTCGGTAGTTTGTATTCACATGTTTAGAATTAAAAAAAGTTACAATGATTATTTAAAAGAGCAACACACAAGTTTCTTGCTCATTCTTCTTGTGATGGTACAGCCTTCTGAATGAGTGGTAGATTAAAAGAAGGATAATTATGACTATTCAAAAGTGCTTAAATTAAGTTTATTTGAATAAATGATTTTCTATTCAATTGTATTAGACAAACTCGGTGGTTTAGCACACCACTTTACTTCCAATGATCGCGGGTTCGATTCCTCGAACGGTATAAACATTTGCATATTTCCTAAAAGAGGTAGTTGCCTGAAAGAGGTTGCGTTAGCGATAAGACCGCCATCTGTATCTTTTTCTTTCTTTTATCTATTGCCATATTTTTAAATGTACTTGTAATGTTGGTGCAATTAAGCAATATAAGTAAATATATATATATGTTTTCACCTTTTGCAGATCATCTCGTCAGAAGCGTGAGAAATCTCACTACCATATGGACAGAACAACGCATATGAGAATATTTGATATAGAACAATAGTTCTTATTACATAGGATGCATGACATATATTCTATCCAAATCAAAATGCAATAAAATATATTTCCATATGTTATATGAATATATATTATTTGTGACTTACTTTACTAAGTTTATTTTTTAAACATTCTTTTTACTTTTAATTCCCTGATCAAAGAAATATTATAAAAGCAATTCGTCAATATTAGGTATATTTATAATAAATAAAAATAGTTATCGCCCAACACTCAACATTCGACCATAATTAATTTAAATTATAAATTAGAAGGTTCAATTGTCAAAGACTATACTTCTATGTGTGTGTGTGTGTGTGTGTGTGTGTCAAAAACTGTAATGCTTTTTTATTGATTTAATGTATTTTTATGAATAATATTTAAAAAATTGTAGCATTTTGGACTTATTCTCTATATAAAAGTATGCGAAATTTCATACTCAGTTTGCGCAAGTTCTGTAAAAAGGGGTACAAAGTTTTTGTCTCACGTAATAATATATACGTTATTGGTATTATGATAATCTTATATATATTATCCTATCAGAATGTTAGTTACTATATTCCTCTGAAACGGCTAGACTTATTTTTATAACATTTTATATGCATATTCAGTAGATCTGAGAATCAGCTACTATGTATCTATTTTTTATACCCCTAAATGATAAGGGTTGTCCAATCCTAACTTTTATTAAAAAAATTTTGAACACTTTTTTTTTAACATGAGACATTAAAAATACATACTACCCTAAATTTTCATTCAACGATTTTAATTTATATGGCAAAACAACGTTTGCGGGTTTAGCTAATAATCTATAAGCATACCTTCTCCTGATGCGGGTGGTCAGTACCAGCGGCGGTGGCGGCCGTAGTGGCGTGGTGGTGAGCTCGCGCAGCCGCCAGGGTCGCCAGTTCCGACAGATTCACATACAACGCTGGCATTTCTGCAACACGAGAGCAATAAAAATAAAAAAATAAATCTACCTATACGAGTGTGATTGCTTCTATCAGTCTGGGTGTTTTCTGTGTATGCATATATAATTATACTTAAGAGCTGTCTAGTATCCACAACACAAGTGCAAGATACTAAATCGCTGTGATTGAATTGTCCAAAGTTGTTATTATTATTATTACTACTGGTCGCAAAAGTGGTCAAAATTCTACCTAATACCTAATAATAAAGAATACAAAAAGATCTTTGAACCAGCAAAAACAATTAAACTATGCGTGTGTGTGTGTGTGTGTGTGTGTCAAATACATAGTAGTGTGTGCAATGTATTATTTTATTCAATTATGCATAAAAAAAAATTCTGCACGCCTTTTTATACATAAACTTCTACTTCTTGCGCCATCTACCACTTTCTGTCTTCTCTTCTCTACCCAAACGTTGTCTGAAAGAGATTGCTTAAGCGAAAAGACCGCCTTTTGTACCTTATTACTTATTATTTGTTTGTTCTTTCTATAATTGTTTGTCTTTCTGGTGCAATAAAGTGTTAATAAATAAATAAACGATAAGTGTGCGAAATTTCGCCCTCCACCGTCCGTGCAAAAAGGAGCACAAAGTTTTTGCTTCACGCATTAATATATAAATTATATATTTATATCAGTTGTGTAGTACCCATAACACTATATGTCCTTAGCTTGAGACTGTATGGCGATATGTGAATTGTTCAAGATTATTACTATTATTAATTTATACAGTATATAAAAGGTAATGACATACCTTTGGTGAGATGCGGCGGCAGCGACGATGGCTTGGAGGGTTTAAACTCTGACTGTCCGGTGTTGGCGTTAGAAGACTTCGTGGGCACCGACGGCCGCTCCAATGACGAACAACGCTGGAAATTTAAGAAAAACAATGGATTTTTCTGTCTACTCTAATGCTGTTGGTCGCAGCTGGCCTTTACAGCTTCACCGGAAGCGGGGCGAGTGCAGATGTCACTTCAAACCAAAGGAAGGACTTATGGAGTGGCTGAAGACTAACTCCTGCCTGATACGGTCGGTCTTAGGGCACCGCTAGTGGTTTGAATGGCTCAGACGGTTGTAATTTCGATCCCCGCTTATATTGGACGACCAATTCCCGGTCGTAGGGACAATCGGTAGCGTCCAGTTTATTGCACTTGATGGTGTAACTTGAGTTGGCCACACATGAAATCGATGACGAACGTTTTCGCATTCAAAGAATCGCGACCGCGAACAGATTACGACACGGCAGGGTCGCCATGTATTGTCGGGATTTGGGGTGATGACTGAAAGCACCGAGATCGAGTAAAATACTGTCTTTGATTACGTTAAAGAGTACATTATATCTTACTACTACATCACAGTGTGGTTGAGTTCATCGTTTTCACCATCGAGGACGGTGTCGTGTTTGTATAATACGAGTAATAGGGACGGAATGTGTGGGCCCGTAAGGAGGTTAGCTGAAGTTCTGGGGTCTTCAGGAGCAATAAGTACTAACTAATAACTTGCCTCAGACGATGTTTTAACGTAAGGATTCGGTGCATGGTCATATTGAATTTTGTGTAACACATATCTCAGTTAAAGGGTATAGTAAGGCAAAAAAATTAAGAGAATAAGAGGCATCATATCATGGCTGTTTCTTCTGTCTTCTTATGTCTATGTTTTATTAGTATTGGAATACATACGGTGGGCAGCGGCGGTCGCGCGTATATAGCGTGGTCGTGGTCGTGGTGGTGGTGGTGGTGGTGGTCGTGGTCGGCGCGGTCGGTGCGGAACGTGAGCACGGTGAGGGCGGCGCGGGGGTGGCCGCGCTCGCAAGCTGCGGCACCACAACACACACCACTCTATATAGCACACACGCCAACATATCCGACGGTACCCAAACATATATAATATCAAACAATTCCACGTTCATAAGCGGCTAAAATGTCCTACATGATTAAATATTTTTTTAATTTAAATTATTATTCCAAGTGGTCGAAATTAGACTAAAGAATAGAGTTAGATGTTGGAATCAGCTATAACAAATAAACTAAAGAGTTTGCGTGTGTGTCAAGTACATGGTAGTGTGTGTACTGTATTATTTGAATTTGAATTATTATTAGCCGAGAAGTCGAAATTCAACCATAATTAATTTAATATTCAGTAAGGCTATACAGAAATAATATTTAAAACAAACAGTATTAATCTTATTCTTAATTTGACCACATACTTAAACAATAAATATATATATATATATATATCAATAAAAATAGAAATATATCCAAGAGTACACCAACATAATGTTTAAAGTTACACAAACAATAAGTCTTTTTTAAACGTATAACATATGCTTTAAATTGTCCTGTCATATTTCAATAACATCGGTGCTTCTTGTATTTTCCATCCCATCCCCTGTACACAGGATATATACATGATATACAAAATCATAGTATAGACATACCTGCAGATATAGTATGTGGTCGTCCGCCCATTATAGCCGAAGCCGCTCTCTCGAATTGGGCGGTATCCTTCAAATCTGGCCAAGTTGCTGATGCTGTGAAAAAATATATAAACTTTATTATTGACAACGTTATTAAAATCTCTATCGGACTACATCGGCTTTCTATGACTATGTTATTTTATAATTTATTTAAATAAAAACTGAAACATATAAAATACATTTCTTTACTGATATTTATTCTGAATACTTTTCAAAGAAATGTATTTCAAGCCTATTCTTCTTGGCGGAATCTTGTTTTCCTATTGTAGTAATAAAATAAAAAAATGCTTAAATCAAGTTTATTTTAATACATACTTTCCTAAATTTTCTGTTACTATCAACTGTTATTTTTTAAAAGCCGTATCATTACATAGTATAAAACAAAGTCGCGGTCGCTGTCTGTCGTCCCTATGTATGCTTAAATCTTTAAAACTACGCACCGGATTTTGAAGCGTTTTTTTTTAATTGATAGAGTGATTCTAGAGGATGGGTTATATATATAATACATGTACATCCGAGTGAAGCCGGGGCGAGTAGCTAGTTAATTTATATGGCAAATCAAACATTTTTAGGTTTTTATAAGATAGGCGTTGTTTAAACAAGCCATTATATGGCGCCTTATAGTTTTTATTGTTGCTTAGTTACCGTTGCTAGGCAACCGTTGTTGATTTAGTGTCGTGAAAGTGCAACCGAACATTGTACATTTGAATTGAAATAAAATTAATTTTTAAACATTAATTATGTTTAATCAGGCGTCTATAGGTAAGGCTTTTATAAGATAGGCTTCTATAGGCTAGACTTCCATACACTAGATTTTTATAGGCTACACTTGCCATCTACTATTAGGAGTCGTCAGATCAGCCAGTTTATCATGCCTGTTACATTAATAAAAAAATATAACTTACCAGCATTGGACATGCCGTCATGAGAATCATCTTGATCGTCGTCGATATGCTTCGCCGGTGTGATGCATTCGCTGCTAACGCTCTGATTGTCTGAACCCTGAAAACCACATCATAATGTTACTTACATCAATTTTTACACCACCATGGCGGCAATCAAGCATACAGCCCGTCTGATGGTAAATGGTTACCGTAGCCTATGGACGCCTAAAACACAACACTCACGTGTTGAAGTCTGTAAGTCACCAACCTTTGAGAAATATGTATTGAAAAACGGTTGTTTCCTGTACGTTATGAAAACACCATGGTAGGCGCCACTTCATTTTAGGACAGGACAATGTCTAGCTAAGGTACACTATTATGAATATCGATTATTTCTATGTATATCATATAGGCATTTATAAACTGTACTATCAACTCTCTAGTGACTATAGTAAAAGTGTCGCTTAGTTGGGACTAAGTGGCGTTGTATTGGCAGTCCGGAAGTTTAATCATTATTTATGTTAATTAGTATATACCTAATTGTTTTACTAATATAAATGTTAACCTATGAAGATTGTTGGTCTTAAATGTTTAGAAATGAAATAACAGTAAAAGTTCTTACCTTTATCGATTAGCTATTTCCACAGATACACATTTCAGTAGTCATAATTAAAACTATATATATAATATATATATGTATCATAATAAAATTATTAAAAATAAAATAAAAATAAACGAAAATAAAATAAAAATAAAATTACATTGTCAACGTAGAGCGAACGTCGCTGTAAAGCGTCTTGCGACCGAAAACCCGAATCGGCACTGCACACACTCGCCAAACGGAACACTGACTAAAATATAACAAAAATAAAACAAAAATCAAAACAATAATAAAACAAAATAAAACATTTAAACAAAAATAATAATATATTGTCACAACTGTTATTCGAATAGTCAGAAGCACTGTCGATTATCGATATCGAGATTAATTTTGTCGACAGAAAAAAATGCATTTTAATTACAAAAGAAATAATTTTAAAATGTCTTGTCAGCAGCAACAGACAGCTGTTGTTGCTGAAATGGCTAGAACGATTTTGACGAGACTTTCACTCGCAGATAGCTAATGTCATAAGAAATAACTTAAGCTCCTTTATTTTTTACATTTTAATTTAAAAAAAGTAAAATTTCACGCAGATGAAGTCGCAGGTATCCGCTAGTTCAAATATATATAAATACGGTCATATTATGAAGTGTAACGTTCACCACGTTGCCAATTTACTTCGTCTGGGATAACACTAAAGATGTATTGTACACCTTCACCTTAGTCAAGTTTTTTGAAATAAAAGTTATTCTTAAAACGAAGATATACTTTGAGATTTTATTATTTCACGTGTATTTTAGTATATAAGGTATTTATAATACGGGCTACTAGTAGCCTGAATGCAATAAATAACCAGGTCGTACCTGTGAAGTGGGTCGAGGCGTATCCGGCGCCGGTAAGGTCCCGGCCGACGACGCGCTCGACAGCGGCGTAGAGCTGCCGCCCGCCAACGAACACACGCCCGCACCCACCGCACCGCTCGCACCGCCCGCACCGCCCGCACCTACTACGCGGACCATATCCAATCACACCATACAATCAATTCAATAATTACGCCTACGATCATAGACTCTAATATCACAATTATAAGGTTGCAATTTAATCGAGTTAATGATGAACAAAATATAATTCATCAAATGTTATATGTAAACGAACAGGCCACCGGTACCTCTTATGCCTGTACACCAAGGAGGATATTGAATAACTCCAGTATGATAATAGACTCTAAAATCATAGTAATACGGTCGAAACTAAAACGGCTAATGAAGAACTAAATATAATTCGTTAAATCTTATCTTAAATTACGACTAATGGTTAAAAAATGTCTTAAGTTGTCAAAATGTTATAATATGAACGCCACATTGAAGTAGCTACAAAACAGGGTCATTTTAATAAGCATTCACGCAAATAACTCCGTATTTACTCGCAAAGTTTTCCTCTATAAATTGTTCATTCAATGAAACGGATGTATATTTTATGTAAATAGGATACCCAACAAGCTGACCTAATGGAGAAATGTAACCTTCGCCTATATATGAACAGTACTGCAGACATCACGTTATCATTTTACGCTCGTGATACTAACGAGTTATCATTCCTAAGGTTTAAGATGTCATGCCTCTTTAGTGTAGTTTCACTGCGTTCTTTCATCTCATTATTATACATTACTCAATGTAACGAGTAAAATGTGTCAACATGTTTTGGCGACGGCCTCGATGCTAGCGGGTTAGCGCATCGCTTTAGTTCTGAGTCGCAGATTCGATTCATCGCACGGTACAAACTTATGTATTCAATATATCAAGTATGATTGTTTGTTTTGGTCTGGGTGTTTTCATTGTATATTATGTATGTATTTTCAAAAGCTGTATGTGAGATGTATTTAAGTATTTGTATCAGTTGCCTAGTGCCTATAACACAAGGTCTGCTTACCTTGGGACTAGGTGACGTGTTAATTATCCAGTGATATTAATATTATATTATTATTTATAACAGTTTTCGAGTACTTATAATAGAAGCTTTGATTAGTTTGGGACTAGATGGCAATGAGATGGATCTGACTTGTGCAGGGTCATTATTATCATGACCATTATTATATATTATTATTATTACTAATATTTAATGAATAATCATAACAGAAAGCATATAGAAGTTTAATAATCATAACATGCACAGTCATCTTACCATGTTGGTCGGAGCACTGGCTATTGAGCGATGATATAGAAGTGAGACTGGACTTCCGGCTCCCGAGTCTTGAGGAAGTGGAAGGCGAGTGCGGTGCCGAATTACTTTCAGCCCATCCACTGTAGCAGGATTTCACGTCGCATACCACCTACAAATATCACGTATATAAAGTTATTTTTTATACTACGATGGTGGTAAACAGGCATACGGCCCATCTGATGGTAAACGTGGCCTATGGACGCCTGAGACACCACAGGAGTTACTTGTGCGTTGCTGAAGTTAGATCCTTTTACAGAAAACAGCAATTCTTATACATTTATATGTAAAACAACATTTTTATATATAACTGGATTGGCAAGCAAACTAGCCTTCAAGGTGATAAGTGGTAACTAACTACAAGCTATAGACAAGAACAGCACACCTGCTGAACTTTTATTACGTTTTTTAAAGGCGAGATAATTGAAAGTCGAAGAATAACTTTTTATATTTGAGTTTATTGTGAGAAAACAATCGTAGAGCAATCTTCGATAATTTTTGCCAACAAATTATATTATATGTTGTAGGAAATATCAGAGGTACAGAGGTACAAACCAAAAACATCTAACAACGGACAATATGTCTTTATATTATACACATGATTTGACATTTTTAAAAACTACAGTTCCAACTCTGCGTAACCTGAGTTTCACTGCTCATCTTCATATCTCACCTGACCCGAATCAGCTTGCAGAGCAAGCTCTTGGTGTCTAAAATATGTGAGACAAAGACCACTCAGACGTCTTAGTACAATGTTAAGTTGGTAAAATAAATAAAGCTTGTGGTCGCCCAGTGGTCGAAATTCGACCTAATTAGTTTAAATTATAAGTTTGATCATTATTAAGGTTCTACTGTCAAAGACTAAGAGTATATATGCATGTGTTTGCCAAATATATGGTACTGTGTCTAATATGTTTTTTTTTATTGATTTAATGTTTTTTATGCATAATATAAATTAAAATTTTATCATTCTGTACCCCTTATCTATATAAGTGTATGTAGTTTCATATTTTTTTGTAGACAGGGGTAGATTTGGCTTATTGTATCAATACCTATATATATGAAAGGTATGAATGTTCCTAATAAGACTGAACAACGGACCCAAATAAAATGATTACACAAAATCATTTTTTCTTCGAGTCGAAAATTCGAAATGCAAATTGTATTGGACCATAATTTTTGCTTTGTCGATGACCTTACACAGGTCGTTTACCGTGCCACTATTATTATAAATATTTAAAAAGAAAACATTTAAAATAAAAGCAGTCCTGTGAGTGACAGCAAAAATGTACAAGTGGTCAATAAATTCTTGATGTCTGGCACTACAGCTGGTATTTGCGGGGGCTGTCGTGGGAGTTGTTTTGTATCAGATATAGGGTTGCCAGATGGCCGGGAAATCCGGGATTGTCCCGGAATTTTGTGTCTTGTCCCGTATCCAGTAATTAGACCTTGTTGTCCCGTTCTGAAGTTATATTTTTATTTCAAATTCGTACGCGAATTAAGTTTGAGTATTTAGGCACTCGCTTATAATGTTTTTAAACATTAATTATCGCTATATTAGTGCATTGCATGTGTATACATTTTTATACATTCTAACTATCTTCTAACATTTCAATTTTGTTATACCTAACTAATAAAAGTACCTATGTATTTGAGAATATACGGCATTTTCCTTTTCATACACAAATATAAATCCTTTCAAAATAAAAAAAAACAAGTTACTTTATACTATAGCCACGACCCGACACCGTTCTCCTAGAATTGTCCCGGATTTAATAAGCTTCCATCTGGCAACCCTAATTAGATACGTGGCAAGTACACCAGCAGTAGTTGGCATAACCGGTTAATTACTTGCTAGTTTTTCCTGGTTGCAACAAAATTCGCATCTCATACCGATCTTAATGCTAGCTATGAAGATTAATTTATCACTGACAAGATTAAAGATCAAATTCCGAAATAACATCTTAGAGATGTGACATCCTATCCTTATTTCCAATCATACTCACTCATACATGAGTATAATTGTTTGTAGTGGTCTATATATAATGAATTTTAAAAAATATATTAATAATTTCTATTAATATTATTGACATACAAGTTGTATTTCATTACATAGTATAAAACAAAGTTACTGTCGCTGTCGCTATCTGTCCGTCCCTATGTATGCTTAAATCTTTAAAACTACGCAACGAATTTATAAGCTGTTTTTTTAATACATAGAGTAATTCAAGAGGAAGGTTTATATATATAATACACGTACACCCGTGAGAAGTCGGGGCGCGTAGCTAGTGTACTAAAAACAAGCTTTGCTTACTTTGTAAACAGATGGCGCTGCGAGAATTGTACTGTGTTAAAAAACCGTAATATTATCAGCAATATTTTTCCCATAGGCTATTTTAAACATGCGTCCTAGACTACTATACCTGGCTAGGGAACTCAACACGGTTTATCTCAACATATCTTCTACTTCCATTCCTTTCTGTCATTTTTATCATCAACAAATAATTCAACTGGAACATGAGTGTTCTGGAACAGTGCAGTTTTAACTACCTGCCTAATATTTCTCTAGAAATTACAGTATGGTATTTACCAGGTTTATATTTATGTGTTAAATAAAATTAAAGAGCAATCTTATATTTCACTTAATTATCACGGAGACAACAGATTGGCATTTATTATGTACGCACAGCCCAGAAGTGTAGCGTGCCTTGGCGGGGCCCCGTATAAAAATATTTGGAGGCCCTTACGAAAGTAAAGATTTCTCACAAAAGAAAAAAAATTGCATAAAATTAAAAGAAATATTTATTCATCATAATTATCCATCACGTCACTTTTTCCAAAATTTTTATAAACAATTCAAATTAAATATACACTCTCCTTGCCTTTTTTTCGACAAACTGATTTCTTAAATCATTTATAGCTGATGCGGGAAAAGAAGAAATCCTTTTTTTTACTTTTGTCATTTGGGGCCGTTCAAGTATTATGTATGCAGATTTAATACAAATACTTAACCCCCCCCCCCCCATCCCCCTTGTCAGCAAAAGTAAGTCAAGCTCTTTCTTCTCCCCCTATAATTACGTAAACATTTTTCAATTAATGTATTGTTTTTTAGCAAAGACAATGTGAGGGTTGCCATTTGTGTAAAAAATTAAATAACTACCGATGACGTGATCATCACCTAGACTCCCCCACCCCCATGTCATCCAAATTAAGCAAAGTAAAGACCCCTACCCCCTCCCGCTCCCCCATAGTGCTTAGGTAATACTTAAACGGTAACGGCCTCTATGTGAAATAAAAAAAAATTGAGACGTTAATTTAGCTTAGACACGATGGGGCCCGGGGCCCCGTATAATTGATACGGCAAATGCGACGGTAGCTACGCCCCTGACGCAGCCCATACAACGTATTTATGTTACTACCAACACAACAGCATGCAGTTTTTCAAGAAGACTATATTAATGGAGTCTTATTTCTTTTTCTTATTTTCTTATGGAATTGTACTTTACATTTCCACAAGAAAATAAGAACACAAAAAAATAAGAATACAATGATTATTTAAAAGAGCAACACGCAAGTTTCTTGCTCATTCTTGTAATGAAACAGCTTTTCGAATGAGCGGTAGATTAAAAGAATGATAACTATGACTATTCAAAAGTGCTTAAAATAAGTTTATTTGAATAAATGATTTTCTATTCCATTCTGAAAGGTCGACAACGCGCTCGTGACACGTCCATAGGCTACGGTAACCGTGAGATGTTCCGTATTGTTTGCAACCATCGAGATATAAAAAAAGTGAAGTGCCATACTCAAAAGCAACTACCGTTGAAGTAAATAAAACTTGTAACAATATAGACAAGTGGTTCACCTGTAAGCTGGCCGCAGGCAATGTTCTGGGTTCCGTCGTGTGACGAATAAGCTGCTCGCTGCCTTCTTGCAAATGCCCGACCTCCGCTATCATTGCTACTTCACTCTCCTGCAAGGAACGGAAAATTGTCATGTGATTGTTACAGCCTATGTAAATAATATAAATGACGTAGTGGAGTAACTTGAAACAGTTATGCTCGCTATAAAGTTCAAACTTGTGGCACCGTGGTGGGCCTGGTCAATGTGCTGCCTCTAATATGGTTGAGTGCAATGATAGCTGGCTCATCCGATATACTCGTGAACGGGTGCTGCTTGTGGGGACTAGTCTGTTCGGGTTGCGAACACTGATTAGATTATTTGGTTTTTCAATAGCATATACTGGTGGTCACTCTATTCTACCAAATTTAAATTAAAAAATGAATCGGTATTATTGTAAACATGTATAACAATTATTTGAAAAGAATACGAGCTGAGTTTCTTGTTAGTTTTTCTCATCTCGAAATCATTCCGAACTGACCGTAGATTTAACACATTATAAGAGTCTGTAATAGACCTATACGAATAAATATATTTTGAATTTAAATTAACTATTACATACATAATTACAGACTGTTATGATATATTAAATCTACCGTCAGTTCGGAGTATTTTGGAGCTAAGATAAACTGACAAGAATCAGCTCTTATTCTTTTCAAATGAGTTTGTACACGTTTACAAAAATACATATACATTAAAATTAAAATAAGGGAGAATAGAGTAACCATCTATTGTAATTTTGTCAAATCAAATATATACATACAGTGCGAGAAAATTTTAAAATCAAAACATAGTCATCATTTAATAAAATATTTAAATTGATCGATTAATAAATCCTGCATTTAAGAGACACTTTTAGAATCAATGCAGTCCTCGAAACATGAGGATAGGAATTTGATAATTGTAGTGCTTTCTTTCAGTGCCAGTCAAGGCGCTGGAAGTAGGGAAATGACTCTCCTACTCATAATTTTCCCAAGAGATTTTTATACATTTGTCAATTATTGAATTTTGATTCTTATTTGTCACATTTGTTTGGGAGACGCCTGATTAAGACCGATTGTTTAAAATAAGCGAATTTCAATATTTGAATGTTTATGGTTTTTAACATAATTAACATGTCAGAAAAAGAGAGTTGCTAAGAATAAATGTACTCGTACATTTTATATATAAAAAGGAGGAATATGTTCAATGTTTTTAAAATAGACATCCTGTGTATCCTCTTATCGTACGATTGAAGCATGAGCGATTACTATTTCTCTACTCTCACATAAACATTGTTTCCCGATTCGCGCATGAAAAGCTTATATGTAAAGGCAGAATATGAGTTGAAACAATTTTCATTCTACAATACATCCACTAAGAGGGGAATGGTTGCACTTACGAAACTAGCATAATATTATACATAGCGTTCCCCTGGAAACCATCGTGAAAAATTTCTGGTGAATTTGCCACGATGGAGTAACTGACTGAACCTCATGCTGATTTTATCATTCGCTAACGGTGTCCCGCCAGAGTGAACTGTTAGCTCAAGCGGGTGCAGCATTCCGTTCTGAAGGATGCATTAAAAGACAACTATTGGCCGAAGGGGGTGGAGTATCGGCGCTACTGTGGCAGATTGCCGTTGTCAGTACCGTGCCCTTACATTATTATTTTATACTAGCTACACCCGCGACTTTGTCCACGGGGAATATAAATTTATTTTTCTAAAAAAAAAGTAGCCTAAGTTACTCCTTATTACATCAGCTAGCTGCCAATAAAAGTCTCGTCAAAATTGGTACAGCCATTTCAGAGATCAGCCTGAACAAACAGACAGACAGACAAAAATTGTAACAAATGCTATTTTAGTATATGTACATATACTAAAATAGCATTTTTTACACACATTTTATTCATACATTTATATTCATATGCATGTAGTAAAAAACTGTTATTTCAATATTACAAAGAGACACTCCAATTTTATGTATAGATGTAGGTAAGTTAGTCTATAAGGTATTTATAATATATATATACTAATCCATCCATTAGTAGCCTGATATAAATAAAAAAATGAACAATCAAAATATAATTCGTATTTACCACAACAGGATTGAGTAAAGATACGAAGTGGCAGAAGCGGCTCCTCTCCTCTATAAGAGCAGCCTTCACTGCTTTCTCCTCCATTTCCTCCAACTGCTGCTTGCGTTCCTGAACATCCTGTAAATAGACATCAATTTCATTTATAATTTTGTTTTTTATGTAACTGAAATGTTATATAAAGTGGTGCTGGTTCACCTGATGGTATGTGTTAACCGTCATCTATGTCATCAGATCTTACGAGAATTCTAATATGTTATACGAATATAAATTCCTATATATGAGTCTTTAAAATCGGTCCAGTATTATTACAAACAAACAATATTCATTCAATTACAATCAAAATTCAACCCTGTATAAAAATACTTAATAAAATGCATAAAAGAAATATTTCGATTCCATTATCTTTCGATCAAACAAAGAAATATATTCGAATAAGTTCATTCGTTTAAGAGGTAAGATACTGCAAACAGTTGGTTGTGTATTTAATATTTTGACTCTAAGAAATTAGTGTTAATTGCTAGTTTGTATTCACAAATTTCAACTAAAAAATATAAAAGTTTCAACTAAATTATATAAAACAAAACAACACGCAAGTATTTTGTTCGTTCTTCTTATGATTAGTCAGCTGTCGAATGAGTAGATAAGAAAAAACCGTATGGCCATTCAAGACTTCTTCAAGTCTTGAATGGTACGTTATTTCTTGTTGTGTTAGTTAATTTTTTTAATAAAGAATTTTCTATTTTACTCACAGACTGGCGCACACACATAACAATCTTATAACACCCCTCTTTCTGCTCGGGGATTCAAATAAAACACATCGCTTTTCCACTGTACAATAGTTTGGATATACTACCTGCATACAGACGTCAGCACGCCGCTTCGCGTCCGGCTGCGCTCGGCGCGCTTTCCTGGCGTGTCTCTGAGCTTCCTGCACTCTCCTCCTGAGTTCTGCCCGCGCCCGCTTGCACTCCCGGGCATGTTCCCGACTGAGTGCACCGGTTGCACAGCCGCCGCGACGCCACTCGTCTGCCCTCTCCGACAACGGTGTGATCAGGGTGTCCATTAGAGCGCTGTGAATTGAGCAAAGTTAACTATTAATTGTATGATTTTTTTATATATTAATGGGTCCTCATCATTATTTTAGACGGCCTCGGTAGTCTAGCAGTTTAGCACACAGCCTTATTTCCGATGGTCGCGGGTTCGATTCCTCGCACGATACAAACAGTTGTATTTATTTGTATCAGTTTGGATGTTTTCTATGTATAATATCTATGTATTTATGAAAATAATTATCTAGAACCCATAACACATGCTTTAGCTTGACTTGAGACTAGATGGCGCTGTGTGAATTGTCCTGAGATTATTACTATTACAGCCCGGAAGACGTCCAAAACCAAAAGGCCTTCTCCAAAAATCTCCACCATGATCGGTCCTTCACTGCATAGTGGTTGTACGATACAACCATATTCTAGAAAAACGCACGGTGGAGAACCGCTATTCATCCAGACGATATAGAAATATAGAAGACAGAGGTACTTTGGTAAAATATTATGATTTTCTAGGTTCTATCCCCGAACAATATGTAATTCATATTTCTTTCTGTATTGGTCTTCATATTTTCTACGTGTATTAATTACAAAAAAGCTAGAAGCACAAAGACACAAGCTTTCCTTGGTTCGGTTTTTTTATTGCTTAGGGGACAAACAAACTTGCGGCTCACCTGGTGGTAAGTGATTAGCGCCGACTATACGCATCGGCAACGCAATGGCAATTGGTATTGCTACTCAATCATATCATATAATCACTTGCCAATGGACATCCGCAACACCAATTGCCATTGCATTGCCGGATTTTTAAGATGGAATAAGCTTTTTCTTGAAGGTTTCAATATGGTATCGGAAATAGCACTACTGGAAGGTGATACCACAAAATCATTGCGTTGTCGGTACATTTCCGACAATTACCTGTAATTGATTACTAAAAATCATGGAATATTTTAGATTTCGATGTCGCTAAAAATCCCCTAGTTCCCGATATGACTGTGACACATGGAATATTTAAAATTAATCTTAAAACCAGAACTAAACCGTATTGGTATTAATTGAAAACATTTATTTCATTTTGTCCTGTTTTGTCAATGTTAATTTAACCAGTTAATTACATCATTGACTTCATGACTACTGTTTTAGGTGGAACATGGTAAAAACAAGCTATTCCCATGACACACAACATTCATAAAACAATGAGGAGTTCATTGTTTTCTGACTTATTGAATGAAACAAGCACTAAATGTTACGGGAAGCTAGCTCCAACTCAGTAAAAAACACATTAAAATTAGTTACGATTTTTCTGTCACTTTTAATTAACGATAATAGAATGGTGCACCCTTTTAATGGGCGATAATGGAACGGTGCACCCTTTTTATATATTTTAAGATATTGACATTTAAGTATCCTTGTGATAGTTATCCTATGTGTTTTTTAAACATTAAAATTAGTTATGATTTTTCTGACACTTTTAACTATAATGGAATGGTATAAATAATGGGTGATAATGGAATGGTGCACCCTTTTAATGGGCGATAATGGAACGGTGCACCCTTTTTATATATTTTAAGATATTGACATTTAAGTATCCTTGTGATAGTTATCCTATGTGTTTTTTAAACATTAAAATTAGTTATGATTTTTCTGACACTTTTAACTATAATGGAATGGTATAAATAATGGGTGATAATGGAATGGTGCACCCTTTTAATGGGCGATAATGGAACGGTGCACCATTTTTATAGGTAATAATGGAATGGTGCACCCACCTGCGTTAACAGTAAACGCTGACGGGGCATCAGTGAAGGATGACAGAATGAACACGAGGTCAGGTAATTTAGCATTACGTCGAATTTAGTATTCATTCCATTTCTGAGATTAGCATATATAAACACACATTTTTTTTTTATATGCAACAGACTCAGGCCGTTCTAGAATTCTTTATAAGTCTAAAATAGTTTACTAAGTTATAAATTATATTTAATTATATATTAACGTTAAATACTATTATTGCATGAGGAAAAATGGAAATCCTTCCTCTTGCAGCCTGTATTCACAGGGTTCCTAAAATGTCAATATCTTAAGATATATATGGTAGGCTTATTGTCAATATGTACCTGATGAAGGTCTTCATCCTGGTTTCGATAGCGCGATGACGTAGGCAAACTCTTGTGAGAGCAGTGCCGATCTCTTTCGTCGCTCCTGAAACAAACATTTAAGATTTTTAATAACTTCCTGCAGGTTATGGGCACAGTGTAAAAATGTAACATGTCGTTGTTGTCATAACATAATAAAACTAGTTGATCCGCGCAACTCCGTATGAAATCAAATCAAAATATCTTTATTCATGTAGGTCTATTACCGACTCTTATGATATGTCAAATCTACCATCAGTTCGAAGTGCTTTCGAGTTAAGAAGAATCGACAAGAAACTCAGTTCTTATTCTTTTCAAATGAGCTTGTACAGTTACAAAAATTCAGATTCAATACTTCATTTGTCCCTGTTTCTTGCGACATTTTTCATTGAAACTCCACTCATATTGGTTGTTGGTTTAGCACGTCGCTTTGCTTAGGATTCGATTTCTCACAAGATATGAACATTTAAATACATATATATTCTATACTACGTAGGTGGCAAACAAATATACGGTCCATCTGATGGTAAATGGTTACCATGCCCATGGACGTCTGAAACACCAGGAGTGTCTCGAAACCATAATATACCCTTTTTGATAAACCCCATGCTGTATCTTGAGAAAATCTCGGCAAAAAGTTCATTGTACGATCTAACTGTACGCGGGAAGAAGCCTCTCTGAAACAGCACTGTTCGGGACCCCTATAAAAATGAGTTTCATTATTTGTATCGGTCTGGGTGTTTTTTAACTCTATTATGTATGTATTTACCAAAAGGAGTTAAGTATTTCTATAACTTATCAATCACCTATAACACAAATTCTGTTTAGGGGGGGCTACTACAGATAGCCCCGTGTGTATTGTCTTGGATTATTCTTATTGTACGAAAAACACGGTTATAAACATTTTTTAAATATCATGTACAGTCATATGCACTTATACGTAAACGGTTCACTGTGGATAACCCAACATAATATACATATATAATAATATACAATAACAATTTCACTCTCAGTACAAAGAACTGATACGGAGTGACGTATTTTTAAATTGTATTGTTACATTTACGTACATACATTACATTTACGTACATACATTACGTTACATTTACATTGACGTAACTGGATTGGTAAAAATTGGCTGTATACCTAAACAGTACTACTGCTATTACTAATGCATTATGACTAAGAGATCAAATCTGTTAACCGATAAATTTCAAAAAACAAATTAATGAATATATATGCCATTGTGCACTCGATTGGGCTATCAGTATTCACTACACTGATGGAGAAGCAATGTATTAAGATCGGATCAGCATGAAGTCATATCAGTCAGCCCGTGATATCGAACCTCGATGTTACCAAGGGACCACGTGGAGAAATTTGGTTGGAAGAAGCATTACTGGTGGTCACACCCCTCCACCTTGTGAAATCGACAAAGAAGATGTGGAACTCAAACTGACATGCCATGATAATATTTCCCCATGACTAACAATCCCCTCACCCAACAATGTTTGTAGGGACTGTTCTGCTCCGATAACTACAACCGATTCATTTTGTTACTCATGGAATCATTTACTTATTTGTCAATTTTGCATTAACAGTTTGTATTCACACAACTTAACTTAATAATGTGATTCTGAACAACTTTTATTCATAAGACCAGCTTCTTCTTCTAGTTGTGATAAGTCAGCATTCCAAATGAGTGGTAGAATATACACAATTGACTATTCAAAAATGCTTTATTTTAATAAAGATTATGTCTATTTCCCCTTTCAGATAAAAAATAACGATTCAGATGTGCATATATTAAGTTTATTTGAATAAACATTATTTCTATTTCTTTATTAAACTTATTACTTATTAAACTTAGCATCAAAACTTAGCTGAAACTAACTTATTAGCTGAAAGAGGAAATATTCCCCTTTCAGCTACAGTTACTACTCCCGTAGGTACCCGTCGTAGGTACCCGCCGTAGGTAGCCGAAGCTACTAATTCATTAATTGTATGACGATGTATTTATGTCTCATGACGCAGTAATAAATAGAATTATAAGGTAAATCCTGCAACCCGGATAATGTCAGAATCACAACACCTTATTACAATTAATGGATCCATTGTCTTTTCGTAAGTGGTTTGATAACTGCTTACTTAGCTCTGATTTCATGATTGCCTGGCTCCAGATACATTCTAGTTATACGAGTAATGACAAAGAAGTTAATTTATTTAAATTCAGGCCAATTATTATTTACTTACTAGCTGTGCCCGCGGTTTCACTCGCAGGAAATTTAAAAACTGTTTCATAGAAAAAAAGTACTATTACAAAAAACTAGCTGACCCGTGCAACTTCGCCTGCATCACACTTACTTAACATTTATTATTATATTTCGCTCACATTACATTACTCACTATCTATTACACACATCCTGTTTATTATTATGATGTATATAGCTTGTATGACTCTAAAGTTACAGCAAAATCCGTTCAATAGTTTTTGGGTGAATTATTCAATGTTTTCGGCGCCATTTTTTTTTTTTTAGGATTATGACCCGATGTCAATTGATAATGTCTACTTTAAAGACTTATCTGACCCCTGTCCCATCCTAATAAGACCATCCCATCGACGGCCTGAGCCACGGTTCCAACTTCTAGCGATGTACTAAAACTAGAGTCGTATTCTTCAGGCTAGAGACCCTGCATTCGCCGCACTTTTCTTCTGATAAAACGGTAAAATGATTAGAATACTTTTGTAAGGTAGTGTTATAGTTTCAAAAACACTTACACATTTGTGTGTTTTGTCCTAACCTAACCTGCATTGAACCTGGTGTAAAGATAAATATAAAATACTCCATGTAATTACCCTAAGTGAATATGTACAATTGTACATTAGTGACCGTACTGATTAGGGTTGGTACCTAGTGCAAAAAACACTTTTAATGAAAGGTGGTGAAATGGTCCACCCGCCTGCTCTTACGATATATGCTGGTGAGGTACCAGTAGAGTGGGGGATGAGAGGATCAGCACGAGGTTAGGTCAGTCAGTGAATAGTGATGAATTCACAAGAAATTAATCGGCGCGGTTTCCAGGGAACTCGTTGTAGACCTTAAGTGGTACATTGCTAACAATGGGGCCAATAATCGAATACAAATTGGTGGTGACTGGATTGTTAGTAATTTAATAAAAATCCAGTCATCCAAAAATATGTTTGGTAATTTGTATTCAGACCAAATGATTTTACATATGACTTTGTGCAACTGACAAACATAACATTTTATAACTTTTTAACAAAAGAGAGAACAAGTCAGTCAAGTTTCTTTCTGGCTTAATAGATAAGTCTGCATATAAAAGGTGGGGGTAGAAAATACTAAATGAAATATAGAAACAATACCAGTCTTTGCAGATTGAACTAAGAAAACTAAACTACCTAAATTACAGTTAATAAACCTGCGTTCGGAAGTGACATTAAAAAAAAATTTATGATAAAAAAACACTTAAAAAGTGAAGAATTAAATAACATCCTGGGGACTACTCGAAGTTTCCCCTCTCTGCCGCACGGTGGAGTCGGCACCCGCACAGTAGAATGCTAAGAAATTCGTCTCTCTCATTTTCTTCTTTAGTACACCCATGCGCAACAGAATAATATTATATTAGTCAGTAGGCTAGAGTACAATTGCAATGTCTAGTATTTAAAGACATCTGATAATGAGGACAGCCCTAAACCTAGCTAAAAAAATAAATATAACAAGCACGCACCGGTCATATCGACCGTTCCGAGAATCAGGTGAAGTCACTTGAAATACCGGTTAGCTGCGAATATCTAACTGTGTTATTGCAAATTCGCCAATAACATTTAAGTGACAAGGATTAAAACGTACTGGTTTTATGTACACGGTGCTCGTACGCAAAATAACGAAGAGACGCTTCCATTATAAGAAAAACTTTATTGAAACAAACAGACAGAACGCAGCCGGCGTCCGAGCGCGACGGACGTCTGCCGGACCAATATAGTAAAAAAAGGAAACAAAATAACGTGTTGTGTGTTGAGCTGTGATAATATTGTATACAAAATGAAGTTTATTTTATTAATTTTCGCGTCTGTATCAAGTTTGTGCTTCGTGCGGGGGCGTAAGTGTATTTTTAACATTTTTCCTCTTAGTATTATAGTTTTTTGAGTGGGGAAGTCTGCAGTTGTCGTTTGTAATTTCAAAACCTTGATCGTAATGAAGGTATATTCTACTTCATTTCCTTATAGTCCATAATGCGCTTTTCTTATATAACTAGTATGTCAAACAAAGTGAAGTTCCACTTGATGGTAGGTGGTAATCATGAACAGCATCATGGACATTACGTCATCATATGACGTGGTACCACTAATGCGTTGCCATTCTGGATGTTCTGGATGTTCTGCCATATATCACCCTTTAAGCCAGTGTTTGCCAAAATACCCACGCCCCTCAGGGGGAAAATTCGATTGTTAAGCGGGCTATTCGAGAATGGATACTCTATTAGAATTCTTTCTTTCTATTAAAATTATATGGATAGTGAATTTCAATTTTTCATTATGTTTTGAAAATTTACTTTGTTGTTGCATTAACAATTTCCTAGTGATTTCTTCCTAAACCTATTATTTAAGTTGATGAACAATTTAATTTTTTTATGTTATAAATTAGTGTTATATTTTAGATAGGCTAAGTTGGGGTATGGTTCTGAAAAGGTTGAGAAATATTGCTCTAAGCGAAACAACTTATAAAGCAAGCTGCTGGTGCTGCTGGTGACAAATAGGTCAGAGCGAGCAAACAACATTGCACTAAGTCTACCTCAGACATGATTATGACGATGGTCTATTTTCATTACTATCAAATCCTAGTTTCAAATCACGCGTTTCCTTTTCTCTAATGTCTCTGTGAGATGACTCAATAATGGGTTCTAACATAGACTCGTTTCCTGAATGATTTACATTTAACACAAATTCTCTTAACACTTTTAAATTATAACAAACTATTTATTTACTGACAGCAATATTTTGTGATGACTTTGATGATACACGTTCTTAGTTTACTGCTTTTGACTAAGTGTTCCATTACTAGTTTGCCATACCAATTACAGACATGTATCTGGTTGAAATCTCATTGGAATTCGGAACATACCAACATTTATCAGCCGAACCTAAATGATTACTTAGGTTAGAAGACATAGTACCACGTTCTAACTAGAATTCAAGTTCAAAATTCTTTATTTAGGTAACAGAATTACTACTCAGTTCTACATATTGTACAGGATTGCGATTAAATAATTGATTATGAAAACAAAATGGTTATTATTCAATAAAAATCGATTTTATCATCAATTTTAACATTCATTCAATCTTAATTCAATAATCAATACATTTTTGACAGTCGATATTTTTGTCCTATATTTTCATCCAAATAGTTTAAAAAGAATAATTGGTGTCATGAAGAAAATACAAGAACACTCACAGTTCATTAAGAATAATCTATTTTAATATAAACGATCTTATTTTTACAAAAAATAATATTTTTTTAATATAGCATATCCCTTAATGTAACATACGGAAGGTTGTTACTATGTAATATAATAAAGCCAAGGGAGCACCAAACAAAATAATCCGCTCCTAATATCATACGTGAGCTCATTATAGTATAACAAACATAAAAAGCTGTTTTGGTATCGAGCAGAATTCACAATATGAGGAAAATGTACACAAAATCTGTGCTTTCGTAACGTTCATGTCGACTGCTAGCATGTAAATTATCTACTTAATATGTATGGAACATAAATTATGAATATATGAGTAATTTTGCAAGGATAATGCAAAGTATTACATTACATTAAATTTTTAATATACAAGATCGCAAATTGGCAAACGTAACGTAGCACCCCGCAGCTAGGTGCAGCGACGACATACGTAGGGTAGCGGGTAGTAACTGGTAGAGAAGGGCTGAAGATCGTGCCCAGTGGCGTGCCTTGAGAGAGGCCTATGTCTAGCAATGGAATGCAGTGGACTGATGATAGATGGTCGCAAGATTTCATTCCCTTATATACAGACTAGCTTTAAAAAACAGCTGAGTTCTTGCCAGTTCTTCTCAATTGAATCTGTACTATGAACTGGACGGTAGAGAAAAAATATGAATACACAAAAACTTGACATTTATAAGCGGCTAAAATAACCTTAAAAATCTTAAATATCCGATTTGATTTATATTAATAATAAAAACAATAAACTGAATCAAACACGTGATAAAAAACCTACCCTATAAAGACACAACACATGCAATTATAATAGAAGTATGCGTTATTTTTACTTTATTTATTTTTTCAAATCTCATTCCTCTACTACAGTACAAAACCACAGAACATCCCTGCTAAAAACTTCACAAAAAAATTTGATCATCACAACGATTGGAGACTATAACGACAATGTTTTTCAAATCTGGATTTAACGGGTAGAGAGTCTTAACGGAACTAGTTGCACTGTACCATTACGCAGATCTCCACGGCATCCCTCCTGAAAACCATCTTTATTAATTCCTAATACGATTCGCCACGATGGTATAACTGATCTGCCTGCATGCTTGTTATATCCTCCATTGTTGCATACCATTAAGACCAGCGACCATACCATTATCATCAATAAAAATATCTACATTTTGTGACATCACGAAGAAAGATTTTTTTAAATTGAATCTTAAACTTTCATTCATAAAATTCTTCATCTATTAATAATAACTACACATCTTTATACAAAGTCAGAGGTTATCATAACTTTAGTGTAAGTAACTGCAATAGTATACGACCTCGTGCAAATGTAGAATAACATAGCATTAAAATTATTAAAATACTCGGTCTGGGTGTTATCTATATTATGTATGTATTTACAAACAAAAGTATTTATGTATTTTTGTATCAGTAGTCTAGTACCCACAAGCTCTGCTTTATTTGGGTCCAAGGATATTATTAATATATATACAACTTGCGGATCCGGCAGTCGTCCTCAATTATATAATGAAGATCATTCATTCGTTAATAATTTAAGACCGACGCTCTTGTTGGTGGAGCTCTTGCCACTTTCCACGACCTTCCATTATACTGTTTAAACGTTGATACGTCACTACTCCAATTCAGTCTTCAATATGCTTGATGTAGTAGTTGCCTTGGTCTTCCTCTCCCCTTCTTTCCTTCCATCATTCCCTCAACAATAACCTTCATAAATTCATCTGCCGTATCAAGTGTCCTAACATAATAAAGATATATATAAATATTTATATTATGTGTGAAAGTTAGTTTGTTATCTCTTATACATTAAAAAAACTCTACGTATCTCCATAAAAAACATATCAAGGCTACTCTTTATGCCAATAAATCAATATCATAATCGAAAGCTGACTAAAATTTAATCACATGACACTTGAATACAACATTTTATAATGAAGACAAAAACCAGTTATTAAACATACCTGTAATATCAACTACAATTATATAAGATAACTTAACCGGTTTAATGGGTTATAGAAACAAACAATAATTAGTTCACCGACTGTATATCCCCCTGATTAGCTGCATAGCATCATATTATTTAATTAATATAACCAGAGTTACATTATCTAAACATAAAAAAACCTAATTTCTATTCATTACAGAATGAAAATTTGGTTTTTTTACGATTCACTATTAAAATACCTCCAGTATTTTGGTTTTTTTACGATTCACTATCAAAATACCTCCAGTATTTTAATAGTGAATCGTAAAAAAATATGCAAGAAATAATTTTGAGGTGGACCTCCCTTATTGCCTTAGGATTGTGAAAAATAGTTTACGTCATATTCTCAGACCTACTGAATATACACACAAAATTTCTTAAGAATCTGTCAAGCCGTTTCGGAGGTGTTCTGTTAAGATGACTATGTTCTTATTCGGTTCATGTAACGGATCATGTTATGTCATGTTACCATGGTAACTAAATAAATTTATTTACCCACCGAATAGGTTAGGAGCCTCCCCGCGGCATATTTAAAAACAGATACGGCAATATATAAACCATCTCTTTATTTACCATTCAAGTTACATAATCACTTAATAAATAATCTCCCTTCACTGCTAGCTTAACTCGTCACAGTGTCTCGTGTTGGGTTTTTTTAATTGACACAGAACCTGTTGGCAGTAGTATGTAGATAACAAAGAACAATTTGCAACTCAGATCCGCTACTATAACCGGTCAGGGTATGAAATAATAATAGAATCTCAGTACAATTTACCCAGTGCCATCTAGTGCATAATTACTATGACATTAACTACCTATATCTGTTAAAATCATACAGAAAAAAATATAAATAGATTATGATTAATTATAAAAATGGCATCTCCAGCAGAGCTTGTATTGGTACGTTAGTACCAATGCCTTATACCAATACAATAATTTATATCAGTTATAATAGAAATATTTAAAAACATTTCTTGCAAACACATGCTTAATATACATAGAAAACACCCAGGCCGATACAATCATATTCACGAATACAAATGTTTGCATCGTACCAGAAATCGAAGCTGCGGCTATCGGAACTGAGGCGTTGAGCTAAACCTAGATCACAGATGTCGTCAAAACACTTTGAATTCTAAGAAAAATCCAAAATGATCGTTAATGTAAAATTTCTCGAATCAAGAAACCTTATGGCGGTTAGAATTCATTAAGTAGTATAATTAAATAAATAAGTACCTAATGACAAAATAATTAATGAGTAATAGCGAGAAGAATGTTTGTGGATTATTCACGAAGGAATGTTTAAGTACTTAACGGCAATGATCCAATAAGTAGTACCTAATATTCATAGTTACGGGAAAAGAACCGTGGGCTAATTATGTAACTTCGTTCGCAACGATTTTCGTATGTAACGTAGTGAAAATGACGTCATCTGTCAATAATGCGATTATATTGACGCCATTTGACGCTGTCAACTAGCATTGCAACGTAAACGCAACTTTACATATCGATAAAAATTATTTCTATCGAATGTCGATTTAGTAACCTCGTTGCAATGTTACGTAATCGCTATTTTGCCGAAATGACAGCGTGGAATGGAAACGGTTTTTACATTATGAGAAACAATTTAGAAGGTGTTTCTTTTGGTTAAAATCTTTAAAATATCAGCATTAGCAGCATTGTTTATCTTGTTTTGGTAATTTTCAGTATTACATACATTTTTATTATATTAAATATTACGTAGAAAGTCGTGTAAAGGTTTTAAATTTATTAAAATGGGAAAATTGTCACGACTCACAACACGACATCAGTGTTGCCAATTCGATATTTTATTTTTGTCCCAAATCATATTGAATAAAACAATTTCATATCGTGTTACATAATTAGCCCACCGGTCTGATCATCACCTGTGATCATGATTTAGTAACAATTATGATAATGTCACACAAAGTATACGTATAATTAACAATTTTATTTTTTCTTTTGTACATAAAATTGTATACATGGAGGACTTCAAGCATTAGCCTGATGGCGTTCTCTACCAGTCAACGGCACTGATCAAAGATTTTAAGGCGGTACAATTTTATAATAGATATTGAAAAATGATAATGGAATGATGCACCAGTGTAGGTTGATAAAATAAGTATGAAGTCAGGCCAGATAGACCATCGTGGCAAATTGCGATTTACCAGGACGGTTTCCAGAGGGCACCGCGCGAAGGTCAACCATGGTATCGCTAACAATGGGGATATTCGTCCACATTACTAACAATCCCCTTCCCTCTTAAAAATAGATATTAATACAGATAAATAAAGAAAATACACATTTATTGTCAAAAACCAAACGTACCGTTATGACTATTAATCCAGAAGGAGTAAGGAGATTATCAACGACGATGTTATTGGAAGCAACATTTGACATCCCCAAATTTCGCTCGGTATATTTGAAACCAACGTGGCAGGGGGCTAGCCTACCTGGGATTATTCTTTGTTTTTTATTACTATATTTTATTTCCTTAACCGGAGAATCAATCAGAAATATAAATTAACACACAAAATTTCTTTTTATGTGTATCCCCTATTTTAAGTCGCAACATGTTGGTATACAGGGTATTAAATAGCACATGTTTACTAAATATTTATTACATATAACATTTTTGTTTCCAGAATCATCATGTCCTACCCCCAGCGGTGGGCAAGGAAAATGTATTACTGTATTCGACTGTCCTCCTCTCCTCACTATATTGAACAACAAGAACAGAACTCCAAGTGACGTAGAATTGTTGAGGAACTCCCAATGTGGCTTCGAAGGACAGACGCCCAAGGTATTTACTTTGTTTTATGAAATTGCAATAGCAAAAATCTTCATTACTAACAATGCATATATTCTTTATTGCACAGGTAATAAGCAAATAATATAATTTAGAGACAATGTGAACAAAAAATAAGACCATTTTTTTATTCCTTCCAGTCAACCCAAAATGCCATAGGTAATATTGAGTAATAATTGGTGCAAAAAAATGAAAATTCTCATTTTGAACAATTTAAAATTGTTGGGTTTGCAATTACGCGGCTCTCCCAGGAAACTATCGTGATTAATTCCTCGTAAATTTGCCACTACAGACTATATTGAGTAATAATTGGTGCAAAAAAATGAAAATTCTCATTTTGAACAATTTAAAATTGTTGGGTTTGCAATTACGCGGCTCTCCCAGGAAACTATCGTGATTAATTCCTCGTAAATTTGCCACTACAGACTAACTGACTTGGCCTCATCTGGCTTGGCCTGGCCCATCGTAAACTGTTATTTCTAATGCGCTATGTTTTTATAATACTATATTGTTTTACATATCATCATTATCATTACATAGTATAAAATAAAGTCGCTGGCGCTGTCTATCCCTATATATGCTTAAATCTTTAAAAACACGCAACGGAATTTGAAGCGGGTTTTTTTTATAGTTAGAGTGATTCTAGAGGGAAGTTTATATATATAATACATGTACACCCGTGCGAAGCCCGGGCAAGTAGCTAGTGTGATATAAGTCTATATATTTTTGTGACTATACCGGTGCCTTTTCGTTGCTCGTCTCGTCTCTGATCTCTTTCCTTCACAGGCAGTACCTTCATAGTTAACAAACAACAATAAATTGCTTCGTTGCCAATTTTACTGCGCAATATTCTTTACCTTTATTATATATCGAAGCAATGATAATTAGTATGCACTATACAAAGATACCTTCATATGCACATTATTTATACAATTACTAGATGTGCTTGTAATTCTTTGTTCATTTTTAACATGTGGACTACCGACATTGTGTTACAGATAGAAAAATAGCCAACATTAAATCATTAGCTTCAGAAAACAATAATGAAAAATACTCATTCTGGCTCATATTTTAATAAACTATATAACTGAATAAATAATTTAAGTACCTATTTCTGCCACACATCTAGTACCCTAACAGTAATTTAATAACCTAAAATCAATTTTTTTTGACTGGCATTAAATGTAACCTCCCAAAACAAAGGTATCTAAAATAATCATCTTACTAATATTATAAACGCGAAAATTTGTAAGTATGGATGTTTAACTCTTTCACACAAAACTAAAACTACTGCATTAATTTTGATGAAACTTTGCACTAATGTAGCTTATACATCAGAATAACATGAAGGCTATAATTCAAAAAGAGCCGTTTCGGATGTGTTTTGTTACAAAGACTAACACGTGATTTTTTTATATTAGATATTAATGGAACAAATAACAACATTTTTAACATATGCCTATATGAAATAAATAACTCTGGACAATTAACACAGCGCCATCTAGCCCCACGGTCAGCAGAGCTTGTGTTATGTATACTAGACAACTGATATAAATACTTATATATTTTTTTTATAAATACATACATAATATATATATAGAAAACACAAATCATGAATACAAATGTTTGCACCATGCGAGGAATAGAACCCGTGACCATCGGAAGTAAAGCGGTGTGCTAAACCGCTAGACCACCGAGGAAATTATTGTAAGTCTAAGTTGTAATTTTTTTATCATTATTAATAATTGCAGGTATGCTGTCCAGAGCCGTGCTTCACACCTGACGGCGCTCCGGGCAATTGTGTCGGTATATATTCCTGCCCACATCTAGCTGCGATGCTTAAACCGCCGTCATCTCAGCAAAACATCCAATACGTGCAAAATTCTAAGTAAGTATAGTGTAGTCAATCGTCAGGCGGGAGTTGGCCTTCAGCCGCTCCATAAGTCCTTCCGCATGTTTGGAGTGCCATCTGCACTCGCCCCTATCGCCCGGTGAAGCTGTAAAGGCCAGCTGCGGCCAAAAACATTAGAGTAGTCCGATAAACAAAAGTATAAAATATCGTGTAACAATTCTAACTATAGCTCGGTGTACTTTCTCCAAAGTCGTCAACATTAAAGTTAACGCTTCAGGTTACAGTAGTGAATATTTGTCGTCTAACACATTCTAATAGTACCGGAATTAAACAAAATATTAAAAAAACATTAAGTAAAAAATTTTTTAAAAATCAGTCTACAATCAACAAAGATATCGATGAAAATACATACATAAAGAAACAATCGAATATTGAACCTGAACCTTTTTTTGAAATCGCTTACAAATATAGGCGTGTAATCAACATTCTACTTCTTAAAAACATAATTTACATAAGTAAATACAATCTGCTGTTTATAATATATGGTATGGTCCATACCATTAACAGGATTTGAAAAAATACAAATATAACAGGTCAGTCGACCGCTCATATTCAGAAACTTGTTTATCGAGTACGTCACGTCACATTAGATTTATATTAATTTTATTATATATTCAAGTATATAAGTATGTATACGTAACTAAGTATATATACGTAATATTGACAACGTTAACGTTAAAATTTTGCATTTATTTATTTATTTATTTATTGCATCTAACACGGTACATTATAGATGTAATTAATTCAAAATTCAAAAATTCAAAGTATCTTTATTCATGTAGATCTATTACAGACTCCTATAATATGTCAAATCTACCGTCAGTTAAAAAATACATAAGACATGTGATACATGATGTACTGTACTGTACTGTGACGAACGTTGTTGGTAATACATTTAGAAATACTGTTACTTATCACATATTGTGTATATACAAAAATATAAGAAGTTAATCGACGACTCACATACAGAAACTGGTTTATCAAGTACGTCATATTAAATTTATATTAATGTTATTATATACTGAAAAGATATACGACATACAATGCCATCTAGTTCCAAGGTAAACAGAGCTGGGGTACTAGATAATTGATTTAAAAACACTTTTTGTAAATATACATAGGAAACACCCAGACCGATACGAATGCTCATGAAAACAAATATTTATACCATGCGAAGAATTGAATACGCGACCATAAGAAATAAAGCGATGTGCTAACCCGCTAAAGTACCGAGACCGTCCGAGACCTCTAACGTTAAAATTTAGCATTAAATTTGTACATTTGTACAATTAGGTACATTTAATCATGTACTATAATTGAAATTGCAATATCGAACTACGATACATATTAGAATGGGACTAGAGGGATATAATAGGAGGGGTAATACTGATTCCTGTCCCTATTAGAATGGGACAAGAGAATAGAATAGAAGGGTCAATACTAAACCACATCGTAATTACAGATGTAACGGTCCAGAACAATACAGCGTGTGCTGTGGACCGCCTAAACAACAGGCTCAAGTCGGCGATTGTGAGAACAAAGTAAACGCCTTCCCACCGGATCCGGCCACTGAATGCTGTGGAGTTGACAGTGGAACTGGCAATAAGATTGTTGGTAAGTAATAAAAAGTAAATATGCAATAAACACTTACAAATGCAAAACGCGTTGAAACAAGAGAATATACGACGAGGTTTAACAATTACAGAAATGATTTGATATGTTGTATATAGTAAAGGAAAAATTCAAAAATATTTTAATATTAGTCAGTGTTTGATAGGTACCTTTATTACAAAGAGATTTTGGCAAATATTACAAAACTCGTAAAGTCAAAGTTATAAAGCAGAAACGGGCCAGTAGTTTACTAAATTTTAAAGCGTAGATAACTTATAGAAATACACAAATATTCGTTTTGTAAATAAATACATACATAAACCAATACAAATCATAATCATAAACACAAATGTTTGCTTTGTGCAAGTAAAACAGAGCAGTGTGCTAAACCCCTAGACCACAGTGAACAAAATTCGACATTTTAAATGGAAATTACTTCCAGGTGGAACGGCAACATCGATTGACCAGTACCCATGGTTGACGATCATTGAATACACTAAAGGCAGCGTCATCAAGACGCTATGTGGTGGAGCTCTCATCAGTGCAAAATATGTGTTGACAGCTGGTCACTGCGTGGCCGGACCCATTTTAGATTCAGGAACTCCGTAAGTTACCAACGCCAACCAATCTTTAAAACATATGTTCATTTTGCACTAATCTTAATCTTATTAATATTATAAATGCGAAAGTTTGTAAGTATAGATATTTGTTACTCTTTCACGCAAAAACTATTGAACGGATTTTGATGAAATTTTACAGTAATATAATTTATGCATCAGAATAACACATAGACTATATTTTATATTAAAATTTAATGCGTATGAAACCGCGGGCACAGCTAGTACTTTATAACTACGTTATTATTGTCTTGCCTTTATCCCATTATTGGAGGTCGGCGCAGTATATCCGTCATACCTGTGCTTACTCTCCTAGATGATATGTATAAAACATATCATCTTGCACGTAATCCATTCATCTTTTTTCGTTCGTACTCTCCCTTTCCGTCCATCCATGTTCAAATTGTTACATTCTATAAAACAAATAAACTTTAAAATTTTCTAAGTATATCCTAAGACTGTTGTACACTTATTTCACGGTTGTTCAAATTAAAAACAGTAGCAGCGTTCAAATATCGGGAGCTTATTAACAAACCGATTATATAACGTATACCAGTAATATTGACCTGGTTAATATCCCGTTCACATAACGTGTTTTAATATCAACTGATTTTTCAGAAAAAATATTCGCCTAGGAGAATACGACACGAGCAACGATGGCAATGATTGCGTGTTAACTGAAGGTGGCGGCGAGGACTGCACCGACCCACCTATGATCATACCCATTGACCGCACCATACCTCATCCACAATACGACAGCATCGGTAGGAAGAACGACATCGGATTGATCAGGATGCGGCAAAGTGCACCTTTCACAGGTTAGTCCTCACTCATCATCTGCTTCTTCCTTGTCCCATTTATTTGTGGTCGGCGTAATATGTTTTTCTCTTCCATTCATCCCTGTTCGCAGTCATCTCGTTATTTACTCCCTTTCTTATCATATCATCTTTCACACAGTCCGTCTAACTCTTTTTCGGCCTACCTCTGCCCTTATAACCATCCACAACCCTATTAAAATTTAAAAAGAAAATACTAATATTGTATGTTTTTAACGAATAAACTCAAAAACTACGGGACAAATTTAAAAAAAATCTCTCAACGTTAGAATGCGATATTATAACACATGTTACAGTTATCGCTAGAATAAAAAATACATTACCGTACTAAAACAACAATAAAGTAACCTAAGGTAAAATGTAAGCAGAGCTTGTATTATGGGTACAAAACAATAAATTGAAATAGTTAAAGACATTCTTTTTGTAAATAGATACATGATATATAGTACATAGAAAACACACAGACGAATCATAGTCAAGAAAACACAAATGTTTGCATAGTGCGAGATATGGTAACCAGCACTATCGAAACTAAAGAACAGAATAGAATAGAAAATCATTTATTCAAATAACTTACATTGAAGCACTTTTGAATAGTCATTTACATTTTTTTAATCCACCGCTCATTCGGAAAGCTGTCAAATTCAAATTCAAAAATCATTTATTCATGTAGGACATTTTAGCCGCTTATGAACGTCAAGTTTTTACATTAGAATTTTTTTTCCCTACCGTCCAGTTCGGTATATAGATCCAATTGAGAAGAACTGGCAAGAAACTCAATAGAATTACTTTTTTTTTAAGTCCAGTTTATTTACAATGCAAAGGTATTTATATAGGTGTCTATGTCTAACATTAAATGAAAATCCCGAACATGTCTCATCACAAGAAGAACGAGCAAGAAACTTGCGTGTGCTAAAAGCGGTGTGCTAAACCATTATATCTCATCATATATATACTGAAATTACTGCAAATTTGTAAAAAAATAATAAAATGAACGCTTATTTACAGATTTCATTCGACCAATCTGTCTTCCAAGGACCGACATCACTCTAACCCCTCCACCAAACTTCAGATTATTTGTAGCCGGATGGGGGGCGGTCAACGAGACCCTAAACAAGAGTAATATCAAGTTACACGTATCTGTACCATTCGTTAATAGCCAGGTGAGTGCATTAAGCATATGGCAACATTTTGGCAACACATAACGTTACTAATATTATAACCACGGAAGTTATGTGAGTGCATGATGTTTGTAGTAACAAACATTCATCCATAAATAAAAATTTCATTTAGCACAGTTTTGGCGTGTTTAATTAAGTTAAGTTAATTAGTTTAATTAGTATTTCACGCCAAAACTGCTGAATGAATTTTAATGAAACTTTACAATCATGTCATGTCTTACTGATGTTATAAAAGCGAAAGTTTTTGAGTATGGATAGATGTTTGTTACTCTTTCAAGCAAAAACTACTGAATGCATTTTGATGAAAGTTACAGTATTATACCTTATAAATACAACAGAATTACACATAGGCTATAATTTAAAAAGATATTATAAAAATTATGCGAAATATAATAATAAATATCAAGTAAGTGTAACGCAGACGAAATTGCGCGGGTTCAGCTAGTACATAATATATATAACAATAGTACATTGCATTTTCAGATGTGTACACCAATATACAATCATCCGAAACGGAGGGCCTCTCTATGGGACAAGCAGTTATGCGCTGGCGGTGAAAAAGACAGGGACTCCTGTAAGGGAGACTCTGGCGGCCCTCTCATGTACGAGAACGGTCGTGTCTACGAAGTCATTGGTATCGTCAGCTTCGGACCTAAACCTTGTGGCGTTGAGAACATTCCCGGAGTGTATACCAAAGTATATGAATACAATACGTGGATCCGAAATACAATTCGGCCTTGAATTATGTAGAACTTATTAAATTAGGAAGGAAAGAGCTTGTGTTAATATGAATTATAATTAGGTTAAATTCATATCAGTGGTACAAAACAGATGGGCTCAAATACCAGAAATGCTACTGAACAATAAGAAAACAATAGTAATACCGATCTATGATGAAAAACTATGCATTTCTCCCAAATGTTTGATCTCATTGATTTAAAAAACGTTTATTAGGGTAATTTTTTAATTACATTTATATATTAATGAACAATTTGTACAAATAAGTTAATCTTTCATATAATTTCAAGACTGACAATAGTTGTCGTCGAAAGTTAGACAGACGTAAATATATTTTGGACATAAGCTAGTCGAGTGATATTCTCGATATTTATACAATTTGTAAAATCTTTTTATTGTCTAATTGTACTTTGCTAGCTTACAATTAAATAATTAGTCAAGATTCCTTTATAATGTAGATTTTCATAAGATAATTGAAATATTGTTATTTTATATAAAGTATATATTTTAATTAAAACTATTTGATACTACAAAAAGACATCGAAATAAAATATTTAATAAATACAATTTCATAACAACAGTTTAATGTTTTATTTGTTTTCACTTGTATGGATCTGAACGTTGGACCGTAAACGGGATGGTTTCAAACGAATCAGCAATACGCACATGACACTCCTCGTATTACGGGTGTACTATACATAGTATGATAACCATTTACCATCGGTTAGGCCGTATGCTTGTTTGCCACCCTTAGAAAACCGAATAACAATAATAATTATTCAGTACGGTTATTTCCGATAGTTGTAATAAATGACTTTTTAATTAGTTGTAATAAATGACTAATTAATTTACAACGACTATCGGAATTATCGGGGGAAGCTAATGTGAATAATAAGCACTTTAGCCAATTCTAGTAATTGCAACTGATACACATACATATACAATACATTATTTTTATAAATACATACATAATGTACATAGAAAATATCCAGACCAATCTAAACAATACTCATGAATACAAATGTTCATAATAAAGAAGGAATCGAACCGCGAGCATCGTAAGTAAATCAGTGTGCCGCCGCTAGACCACCAAAATCATTATAATAAGAACTCACAATAAAATTTAATAACAAGAAGAACGCAATTGTCATATAACCTAATGTTTATGGTCATCAAAAAGCAATAAGTTAACAATTAAGCCCAATAAATGTTAATAAGATAAATCACTTCGCTTACTGTATTTCTAAATATGTTTAATATAATAATTTCCTTAAGACAATTGTTAGAATAAACGACGATAATCATTATATACGTGTAACTGATCGCTTGAAAATACATACTGTATTCTGAGATAAAAACCATCGTCTAAGAATATAAATAAATAAATAATTAATCTGAGGACAATTCACACAGCGCCATCTAGACCCAAATTAAGCTACCTAAAGCTTATGTTACGGGTACTAGACCACTATATCCTTCAATTCTTTTCCTTGGCAGGCCGAGACAGCAAACTTTAAAAAAGTCGCAGTACTACAGGTCTCTTTAGCACCGAGTAATAGTCCAAAACCCTTAACAAAAAACCTGATCGCTGTCTGTACATTAAATATAAAGAAAAACTATTATTGGAGTACCTACTTCATTAACATAATAGCACCCAGAACAGTGATTGTTAGAATTTTAGTACGTTTTGGAGCTAATCTCTGAAACGACCTAACCAATATGGATGTGATTTTCACTAAAAAATGTACTTTGGAGAGTCTTCAAGGAGAAACAATATGGTAATTCTTAACTTTGTAGTTGATTTTGAACAAACAAGAATACAATGTTTTGTCATTCCTTTTCATTATTAGGATGTCATAAAAGATGTAAGCTTCATTTAAAATTTTCTATTTTATTAAAAATCGTGTTACAAACAAAAATATTATAACAAATCTAGTGGCTGTTATAATTTAATAATCAGGAATCAAATTATTGTGGTATAAAAAATAGCAGTAGAAGTAAAATGTAAAAAGTCTACGTGGGAACCTCACTTAGTTCAACCGCAAAGCAACTTGCTTTGTGAACTGCATATTCACCAGACCAGGCAGGTTAGGACCAGAATAGGCAGTGAAATTACAGGATAAGAGGCATGACATCCTAATTCTCTGGACTGTCTGACTACAGTGTCATGCAAATCAAACATGTCCTTCACATGTAACCACGCGAAAGTCGTGTAGTACCGTTGTTTTTTTTAAAATAATTATTATCATTAGTAGTATCAGAAATAAAAGGAATGGTAATACATGTATTTTGATGACATCCGGAAGTATCCGGAGCAGCAGTAGCAGCATGATAACGTGATGTGCTTAGTGCTATCATGTTTATACACAATGGTTATCGCTTACGAACAGGTGGGCCGATAGCCTGTTTGCATTCCAGTTACATGAAAAAAAAAATCAAACATATACCTGTTTACAACGCTTTAGTGTACAAAACAAGCAAAATCCTTTCGAGATGCTGTATTAGAACACTCATGGTGTCCATGCGCACCGAACGTCTCTCTTATTAATAATAAAATAAAAATCTGTTTATTGTGTTATTTATTAACAAGTGATAGAGTTCAATATACAATGAATATAATTTTACTGATAGCCGCTGTGACAACCAGTTTACAGGCTGTACGAGGACGTAAGTATTATTTTATTATTTTCCTGTTAGTTGTATACTGTTGAAGTTATGAACTTTGCAATTAATGTTTATACTTATGAACTAGTCGTATTTATTTGCTATAAAAGAGACAACTATATTTATGATACAATATAAAAATCACATCAGTCTATTTGTGATACCCTCGTGGTTTAGCGATATAGCACAACGCTTTTCTTCCGACGGTCGCATATTCATGAGTATGATTGTTTGTATCGGTCTGGGTGTTTTTATATATAATATGTATATATTTATGAAAAAAATCTATATCTATGTACTTATATCAGTTATCTAGTACCCGTAACACATGCTTTTAGCTAGCTTAACTTGGGACTAGATGGCGCTGTGTGAACTGTTCTGATATTATTATTATTAGCCGAAGTTAACAAATGCTAAAGGAAAAAGGCTACAAAATTCGAGCATGAATGTTTAGGATACATAAAAAATTATTAATCACTGAACAAAAATATGTACAGGAAAATAGTCATTAGTGTGCATAGAGGGAAATAGTTTTATAATAATAATAGCAGAACAATTCACAGTTAAGCTAGCTAAAGCTTGTGTTATCGGTTCTAGACAACTGATAAAATTACATTTTTTTTTCGTAAATACATACATATTATACATAGAAAACCAGACCAATACAAATAATCATACTTATGAATACTAATATTTGTACCATGCGAGGTATCGAACTCGCGACCATCGGAAGTAAAGCGGTGCGGTGTGGCTAAAACGCTAGTCAAACGCTTAAGGAAAATTTAGGATACATAAAAACTGTATTAATCACTGAACTGAACTGAAAACATGTTCAGGAAAATGGTCATCACTGTGTGCATAGAGGGAAATATTTTAGGCAAATTAATACAAGAATGAAATAGAATTACAAGATTAAAGGTATGACATCTCAGTCCTTTGGAAAAACTACGCGTTGTATCACGGGTGTCACATGATAATGGTGCTCATAATTCTGCTCAGGTATAAAGACGACGATTATACTTTTTTATATAGCATTGGGCTTACTGCTCACTTGATGGTAAGTGATTGCTGCGGCCCATGAACACCAGCTACCAAAGGAATTGCAAGTGCCGTCCTTTTAAGAAGGAATAAGCTCTTTTCTTGCAGGTTCCAATATCAATATTTCATTCCTTTGTTAGATTTCGTACGCTTTCTATATGGTGACCCATATTTATCAACACAAATAAAAAAATCCTTTTACGACTACTTTACAATTTAGTTTACATTCAATTATTTCATTAGCTATTTAAGTTTATTCGAGCGGTTTAATTTTAAGCGCATCCTTCCCTAAACTTCTCTATACTTTGACCTCCGTGCTTTAACAACATATTCTGTTTAAATATCATTCGAATTCCTTTCCTTTAAACGGGGATCGACATTGCGACCTGAGCCAAGGATTGAACTGGCGGAGCCCTCAGACTAAAGTCGTCTCCGTTTGGCAGGATTCAGTCGCTCCATATATCCTTCCACGGCTTTGGAGCGTCATCCGCACTCGCCTCCCATCGTCCGGTAAAATGTAAAGGCCAACTGCAGGCAACAGCATTAGAGTAGTCAGAAAACTCTAATTGCTACATTTGCGTTCATATGAAACGTTAACACTATTGATAAACAGACATACAGTGTCTTTACAATCTTATAACATGTAACGAAAGATAAAAAAGATTGATTCAAGGTCAACTTTTTTTCTTTCCGTATTACATGTAACGAAAGATAAAAAGCATTGCTTCAAGGTCAACTTTTTTTCTTTCCGTATTACATGTAACGAAAGATAAAAAGGATTGCTTCAAGGTCAACTTTTTTTCTTTCCGTATTACATGTAACGAAAGATAAAAAGGATTGCTTCAAGGTCAACTTTTTTTTCTTTCCGTGTTAATCGGCGATCAGTCGCAAGACTACAAGAACATGTGTTTAGTGCTTCTTGATGTACAGACGAAGATCTCAGCACCACTTCTACCTTACTATAAGTCCAATCAAACTACTAATATAAAAATATTGTAAAAGATATATTAAGATAAATATTATGAAAAAATAAAAGATAAAGATGTGATAAAAGAAAATTGATTTACAGAATTATCCTGTTATACTCCCAGCGGCGGAAAGGGACAATGCGTATCTTTATTGGACTGTCCTGCTCTCGTTGTCGTAATAAATAAAGAGAATAGAACAGAAGAAGACGTACAGTTCTTAAGGAAATCAAAGTGCGGCTACGAGGGCCAAATACCAAAGGTATTATATTACTTACTAGCTACCCACCCCGGCTTCTCACGGGTGTACATGTATTATACATATAAACCTTCCTCTAGAATCACTCTATCTATAAAACCGCTACAAAATTCGTTGCGTAGTTTTAAAGATTTAAGCATACATAGGGACGGACAGACAGCGACAGCGACTTTGTTTTATACTATGTAATGATTTACTTATATATTTTCTAATTTCGAAGATATACAAAACAACGAACAAATAGATAGATTAAAACAATAGTTCATATTGTTTTAATTTTTTCGTACATAATATATTAATTGATTATTCCAGTGGATAAAGCAGAATGAAGATTGATATTATTATTGTTATATGTAAAATAGCACCAGCATAAATCATTATTTATAATAGAATGTTTCTTTCTATGAAATATTTTATATTACAAACAGGTGGACTGATTTGAATATGTTTTTGGTCTAATACAAAGGTGGTTAATAATTCAGAAAACCTTCATCTAAAAATGATTTGATGGTCTAGCGGTTTGGCACACCGACTTACTTCCGATGGTCGCGGGTTCGATTTCGCGCACAGCACAAACATTTGTATTCATATAAATAAGTAGAATTGTTTGTATCGGTCATGGTCTTGTATATATTTGTATCTATTATCTAGTACTCATAACACAAGCTTTAACTACCTTAACTTAGGTCTAGATGGCGCTATGTGAATTCTCAATAAAAAAATGGAAATATATTATATGGTATTTCTGTATGTGAATCGCTACTATAAACTACTTTTATTTATTAAAATTTTAAAAATTAATTAATAAAATTTTGTCTAAAAAATAAAAAAAAAATTAGGGGAGGACTACCCCTAACATTTAGGGGGATGAAAAATAGATGTTGGCCGATTCTCAGACCTACTCAATACGCTCACAAAATGTCATGAGAATCGGTCGAGCCGTTTCGGAGGAGTATGGGAACGAAAACTGTGACACGAGAATTTTATATATAAGATATATTATTGCAGGTATGCTGTCCAGAGAACTGTATGACACCCGAGGGGGAACTTGGCAGATGCATCAGTATATATTCTTGTCCACGCCTTGCCGAGATGACTAAAAACGCATCTGAGCAAAACATGCAATATTTACAAAATTCTAAGTAAGTTTACAAACACTGTTACACTACGAATGGCAAATAGAATGACGGCCTACCTGACGGTCAGTGGTAACCGTCGCCTATATACATAAAAAGCACTACACCATTATCACCACCATTCGAGAGGACTAATTTGTTAAGCCTTTATACTCTGTAATTGTCGCCAAATAGCTTGTTGTGTTTCGGTTTTTTTTTTGTGGATGATAATGGAATGGTGCACCCGTCTGCGCTAACGGTTTACGCTGGCGGGGCACCAGTGGAGGATGATATGAGCATGAGGTCAGCTCAATTAGCCCATCGTGACAAATTCACCAGGAATTTAACACGGTGGTTTCCAGGGGGAACCGCGTGGAGGTCGACCTGACATGGTACATTACTAACGTACTATTCCAATGCTGTTATCCGCAGCTGTCCTTTACAGCTTCACCGAACGTTAGGGGGTAAATGCATATGGCACTCCAAACCCGCGGAAGGATTTATGGAGTGGCTGAAGGACAACTCCTGTCTGGCGGATACGACTTTAGTCTAAGGGCACACTGAGGACCTCGACTCAGGCTGTGACAATTTCGGAAGAGGGACAGATCTTAGGGTGCTCCCCTAAGATCTATCCCTCTCAAGGTCCATATGGGTGAACACTGTACATGTATATAAATGATGGTTATCACTTATCAGCTAGTAGTAGTTTGTAATTCCAATATCATAAATATATATAATTGCAGATGCGCCGGTACAGATAAATATAGCGTTTGTTGCGAAATTGAAATTGGCAATTGCAAGAACAGAATAAACTCGTTTCCTCCAGACCCAGCGACTAGATGCTGTGGCATAAGTGGTGCAGCTGGTAACAAGATTATTCGTAAGTTCGTTACTCCGTGGTCTAGCAGTTAAGCTTAAGCACACTCCTTTACTTACGATGGTCGGAGGTTTAATTCCCGCACGATACGTTCAATAAAAAAAATTTGCCAAACAGTAGGTATAATGATTTTTGTCCAGTAACCATAACATTAATTTATATATAACTACAGAAATGCTCCTAACGTCCTTTAAATCCAAAGGCTAAAATTATATGCTTCAACAGCTTTGATAATGCCGACAGTGCTGAAGTACTTTAAAACTAGGAAACAAGTTACCCCTAACGTTTCGTTTTTAATTGGTTTTGCAGTACAAATTGATATAGGCTAGGTCATATATATCGATATCGAATAATCAAATCAAAGTGTCATTTATTTAAGTAGGACATTTTAGCCGCTTATGAACGTATTCTTTGGATTAATATTCTACCGTCCAGTTCAGTTTACAGATTAAATTCAGAAGAACTGGCAAAAAACTCAACTGTTTTTTTTTTTAATGAATTCACATAAGCGATTGACAATTCCTCCAGATTTGTTCGTTTCGTTCAAGTATGTATGCATAGTTTTAAAATAACATTCCATTACAGCGGGTGTAGAAGCAGCTATAGACGACTACCCATGGCTGGCAATTATTGAACACATAAAAGATGGCGCCATCAAAACATTATGCACCGGAGTACTCATTAGTGCCAAATATGTATTGACCGCAGCTCACTGCGTCACTGGACCAGTATTAGATGTTGGAACTCCGTAAGTTACCATTTACTCTAGATAGATATAGTCAGACCATTCATCAAATGAGATTAAAACACAAGGCATTTCAAGGCAAGGAAAACATTTAAATGGGGGCCATCGTGTAGTTTTTAGTGGGTTTTCTTACTCACCACCTCCTCACACTTCCGGTAGGAGGACGGTATTTAAAAAAAAAATAAACCCTATTCAAAAGGTTACGGGTAACAAGAGGATGTGAAGATTAAATATTAAATATCTTAGCCAGTGGCGTTCCTTTGGAGAGGCCTATGCCTAGCATTAGACTCCTATAAATTGATCATGATAACGAACTTTAATGCAATTCCGATTTTACAGAAAAAATATCCGCCTTGGAGAATACGATGTGAGCAATGACGGGCTAGACTGTGTGTTTGATGTAGGTGGTGGTACGGACTGTTCTGATCCTCCTGTAACCATTCCCATAGATGTCATCATTGCGCATCCTCAATATGATATCGCCAATAAGAAGAACGATATAGCTTTGATTAGGATGAGAGAAAATGCACCTTACACAGGTTTGTTACAGATTTTGAAAAGTAAAACATAAAATGATTCAGAGAGTATAGAAACTGCACAAAAAAAAAGAAAAACAAATAGCTGAAATGAGCCGAACCTCATCTTTTCTCGATGATTGAAAACAATAAACGTTTTCATGTTCACAGATTTCATTCAACCCATTTGCCTTCCAACTACGGATGTTACTGCATCACTTCCGGATGGTGATAGGCATTTTAGATTTACTATAGCAGGATGGAGGACAGTAAACAAGACAGCTAACATAGGCAATACCGTACATCAAGCGTTTGTTCCGCACGTTAACAATACGGTAAATCCTTCTACTACTTTTTATGCAACAATATTGGCTAACAAACTGACGATCCTCTTGGTATGAAACGGCATCTGTCACCTATTAACATTACATAATGAATTTGTTACCACTAATACATTGCTATTCTTAAGGACTAAGGCGTCATTCTTCTGAATCCAACAATTCATACACTCATAGAAATACTTAAATACATAGAAAACATCCAGATCAATACAAACAATCATACTCTTGAATATATTGTACTGTGGGAGTAATCGATTCACGACCATAGTAAGTAAAGCGGTGTGCTAAACCTCTAAACAAACTCTTAAGGAAAAAGGCTACAATATTCTTGCAAGAATGTCTAGGATACATATAAATTACTAGTATTTGTATCGTCCAGGAATCGAACGTACTACCATCAGTAAGGCGTGGGCTAGTCATATACCACTCGACCACCTAAAGTATGCTCGGATGAATACTATCAATAATTATATTTTATATTTCTAGGAGTGTGAACAACTACACAATCAAAAAGGCAATATCAGCTTATGGGACAAGCAGCTATGTGCAGGTGGTATGAATGATGAGTGCTTCTGCAAGGGAGACACTGAGGGCCCCCTCATGTCTGTTAACTTACGAGTCCACTCGTATGAACTCATTGGAATTTGGAACTTCGGTCTAGGTTCTTGTACAGTTGACAAAATCCCGAGAGTGTACACGAAAATTTATGAATATAACACTTGGATACGTAACACGATAAAGCCTTAATAAATTTTCCAATAATTACTGACAACAATGTAGCTAGATCACTATCTACGCCTAATGGCACAAGAAATATGTTATTTATTGTAAAACCTTTGGTACCTGTACCTGTACTAATATAAACCTGAAGTATAAGAACAATAATAATAAAGAGAGTAAACGTAATTAATAATTACTTAATTAAAAACGATTATATTAGAAATGATTTACTTTTTGATTTACAATTTTGACATAATTTCATATTGAATTGAGCTGATAGATTACTAATTACTACGACATGAAAGAGTTATGTGACTCAAAACCTTGACATCTATACATTATTGAAACAAAAATTTTTAACACTTTATACAACAATCACGCGGACGGGGGTACATCGCAGTAAAATTGTATGTGGAGAAGTATAAGATAACATACAATAATTAAATCAAATAAAACTAATGACAAAGCCCCTAAATTAAATGTACATAATAAAAGATAATAAAAACAATTGCAGACGTTACATAATCACGCCCATCATTTCGTTAACAGAGAACTGATTATAGTTAACAGAGTGCAATATTTTGAATCTATACGCAAATCATGACATGACACTTTAAAAAGTATTCCAAAATAAACATATTCAAGAAGAGAAATCACGGGTGAGAGATATGTTAAATTTCAAGCACTCGATAACAAATTCAAACAAATTCCAATTACATTTGTAAATAGAAACACAAAGTTTTTTGCTATTCATCGCAATATTGGTTATCGGTTTTGTTTGATATCGAAACGTCCGTTAACAAATTGGCAAAGTTTTTTTTATAGAAAAAGAATCTCAACTGAGTCGTGATATGCATAAGCTATACATATAATAACATCACAAACAAGTCAATTATGTAAAAGTAAATATATTTCAATAAACAATTTGTACACTTTGTGGTTTTTTAAATGAAATGGTGCTCCTGCTTGGGCTTAATCATTCAGGCTGGTAGAAGACCAGTGGACGAAGATAAATGAGGTCTGATCAGTTAGCACTATTAGAAATAGAAGAAACCGCTTAGAAGTCAACCGACATGGTATATTCCTAACAATCTCTTCCCTCCATTCACTTTGTAGTTAGATATTTATGTAGACATCCGACTTCTCCCAAAGTCATCCCCAGGATCGTGCCTTTTAGACACCCGTTCTCAAAGAAGTCAGTGTATCATAGTTTAAAAACACTGGACAATACTATTAGTAAACTGATACGAATTACATCCGTAAATAATTCCGTACAACTTCTAAGGAATACTTTACGAGTTAGAATATACCTCTAGCAGTGGTCGCTGCATCAGCTATTTTCTGGAAAGCGTCCAAAAAAGCCGCTATTGCTACCAGCGCCGACCTGAAATTGACCAAAATATTTGCTTTAATTTTTTTATGCCATTGCAATGCGAAATAAGCTGCGGCCTACCATACGTTAAGTATTTAATGATATTTCGGAACCGATACGCTATTGAAACATTTAAGAAAAGAGCTCGTGTCTTCCTATAAAGCCGGCACGCACTTACAATTCCCCTGGTCCTCCCCTGGTCATGAGCACCCATGACGACAATCACTTACCATCAGGTGAGCTCCTGTATAATTCCACAGTTACCTGCGCAAACGACTATGTACCTCTGTTGACCTCCGTTGTGGGGCGGGCAAGTTACTTTCTTTGGAATTGAAATAGCAAACAAGCTGATGGCCCATTTGATTATATGCGGTAAACTTCATACGGTAACATGAACAGTACTATGAACGAAACAAAGCTCACCCTGCTTTTTTTGGTTGAATGACTTGACTTGGCGGCTGAAATAGGAGACCGCAATATATTTGCACAAAAATGCGATTTTTTTTTTCAAAAATTAAAGCATTATATTTTTAACATAGAAAATTTTTAAAAAAGCCGTTTTCAATAAATTAATACTCACTTTAAAGCCGAGTGAAGCTTGGTGGCCTTAGATATAAACTCCTCCCACATCGGCGTGCTGTTCTGTAAACAGAAAAATAAGAGTACATTAGTTAAATCCAAAGTGTTAAAAAGAAATATTTTTGTATACCCTATTTCTCTAAGATGACAATTAAAATGACTTCAGCAAAAGGCACGACCCGCAAGACATACATTGGTTACAGTGAAATGGTACTAGTACATCTCCTAGACACTGACACATACTGCAGAAGGCTAAGACGCTCCAAAGGTTGGAGCGTCTAAAATATGATTGACCTAACCTCACGATTCCACGCACAATTTTCCCTAACACAACAGCATAATGACAATGATTTTCACTCAGTCAGAAAGTCAAATGTAGCCCTATTCGTGAGGTAATGAAGTAAGTAGTCATTAGTTCAAATGTAATGCTAGCCCTCCCTCATTCTCCGACTCACCCCGCATCGCATCACATCGTTAGCTTGGGCTATCACTATATTTTCGCTTAGTATTTCTTCCATCACTCTTTTTTAAAGATAAAGAAATATTATAACGTGAGCAGAAAGAGAGGGATTGTAATGGAGTCTACTGGCAGTATTGCTAGCAATGTAGGATGTACTACATCAGATATCCACGTCTCGTATTGCGACTCAGTCCTGATGAATTCGCCATGATGGGCTAACTAACCTATGTTCATTCTCATCTTATCACACTTCACCATACCCCAACTAGCGTATACCACGCTCGGTTACATCAAACCATTCGAATATACTGAAATAAGTTTATACTGTAGCGTGATCTTTAATAAACTATAACCAATCTCAAAAAGTAGGTTATGAAATGCAATATTTTCTTTAAAATACGACTGATAATTCTTGGGATTATCCCATACAAACAAAGAAACAAACTCTTCGGCTTTCCGTTACTAAAGATGACAAGTGTTACGTGATCTACTTTTCCAATTTTTCTTTCATATTACACAAAGGCAAGTAATTTTAGGCAAAGCGAGTGGTATTTGTCAGAAGTCGAAACAATAGCAACCGTGAACAATGCTTATATGCTGTATAATACCTTATGTCACGACGGATAAACGGACGTGGTAATTTGTCTGACATTACACCATTCAGTGCAGCGTCTGTAGCTGATTCATATAAGACAAATGGATCACTTCAACATAAATTTACCAAATTATGCAATCCCAATAACATAACAAAGGCAAAAGTAAGGATAATTATAACAGGATAAATACTCTGGTTTTCTCTGCTATAATATTGTATATTACACATACAAACCTACAAGTTATTCAGAACAAATATAAGGAGAATAAGACAGACTAACACATTCTGTAATATATTTTTGAAAACGTTGAATTTTTATCATATTGAAAAAGAAATTTTTAGATAACTTTCAATGTCATAACACGATATTCCCCTTAGAGAGGGTCGACCAAATAAAGCCCTGCATAAAACCATCCCCTCAAATACCGAAGAATGTCATAATTAGCGGCTATCTCGCTCACACAGTTACCCTATAATCACACAACGACTTGCGGCGGTCTGTGCATATGAGTTCTATAGCGGCTTTTAAGAAATTTTTGATTATCTTGAAGATCATCAAAAATTTGGATGCGGTTATTAGTTCATTATAACTGTTTACTATTTTCACGACAAATTCTGTATTATATATTATAGAATATGCGGTTTTCTATTTCACTTAATGGATTTATATATTTTGTTAAATTCCATAAATATCATGTGTGAGATCACAAATATTCAGTGTGAAAACTTGTCTACTGTTACAACATTTTCTAATCCTCAAATTCAGTCCCCGTTTGGTCTAATGGTGAATATCCGAACTCTATTCACCATTAGAGAAGGCCGTAACGGTAGTTAAGCTTACAAACTGAACAGTTGTGGTCTCACATATGCTAATTGTAGCGGAATTTAACAAAATAATATAAATGCATTAAGTAGAAAATTATTCACTGGCTAAGTAGAGGATGCTATGGCCGTCTATCCTAAGATATATAAGGCTTCAAGTACAATACAATACATCGGCGCCAAATATTTCGTTTGTGTCTTATGCTTACTATACTTAAGCCAATCCCCATGAAATTTGACACAAACAATCTTGACATTTTGTATGGAGAAGACTAGCCAGGCAAATTCGGGACGGCCAATTACTATTATACAATCCACACAAAGAGGTCCCATTAAGAAGTTACAGCACCGTGAATTATAACAGTAGTTCAATTGACCACAGACAGATTGAATACATTTACTGAGTCACTATTTATAATCACACATACAGACGAAAGTATGACAAAATAAACATACGCTCGTCTTTAAAAAATCCGGTCAACTATAAAATATAAGGGGTAATGTACACGGAGATATTATTTTTGTTCAGAGATTTTACAGTGTTATTAAATCATCTAAAGCCACATACTAGTGAAGAGAAAGAGATAACAATAGAACAATGAACTGACGTTGACTTCAAATTGAGCGTCACTCGTTACAATTCTAAGTTCGCAACAATCCACGATATAATTGTAAGTAAACGTATCAGAGCACGAATATCCTTCAATTCTTGTCCCTGACGGGTCTAGGTAGCGAACTTTGAAAAAGGACGAGCACAATAGATCTATGTAGGTCGCAGTGCTACAGGTGCTACAAACATCTGACCATAGCCCAAAAACAATTAAAAAATTAAAAAAAAAAGAAGAGTGTCTGTGTAATGTATATAAAAAATAGACGTATTCAGAGGAGAACGACCCTACCTCGTGATAAAATAAAAATGAATTAAAAGGATCAATTTATTCACGATATTATAAATCGGAATGATAACATTTTTAATCTGTTTTCCTCACATATAAACTTAAGAACTGATTCTAAAAATTCTTTCAAAATATACCTGTAGCTAAATTATCAATGACTAAAATTAGCTATATTTTATTGGAAAACAAAATTGAGAGCCCTACAATAATTACACAATTGGTAAGCATAAGTCGCCAATTTTCAATAAGTCAATAAGAAATGTAGATAGAACGATTGCAACCTGTTTTAGTTACATTCAAAGTTTTCTACGGTACCTTTAAAGCGATTACATTATTATGTTATTTATCATTATTACGTTCAGTCGGACGTTTGTCCTATACGAGCCTGTATGTACCAATCGAACGAGACTCAAATAAGGCAATAATCCGAATGAACCTAATAATTTGAGAGCGAATTTAAATAACGGCGTGTGCACTACGCCTTAGTACACCGTTCGCTTTTATTACAGCAAATATATATAATAGCATAACTCTTACTGAATGAGGAGGCTGCAAACCGTACACTTAAACTGGTTAGTGGCTAGTAATGTCCAAATAATTTGATGAGAAACGGAATGACCCGTGCGGAGGTCAGCGGACTCCGATTGGTAAGCAGTGTGCATGTAGACTTTTGTTTTAAAGACTTTTTGTGTAACTGGAAAGTTAGAAACTGTTATATTTTCTTTGTTGTCATTCCTGAAGACCAAGATGTCAAATATCTCTGCAACTGAAGAACACATCTTATACAGCAATCTGCTTGGCGGTAGAATTTAGGAACATATGCCGTCTACTACTCGACTTTCGTTACAATTTTCAGGAAACTAAGGCAGTGATATATCTTACATAGCAAACGATTTATATAAACGTTTTCGCCTATAGCGGCCTCGGTGGTTTTAGCGTTTTAGCACAGTGCTTTAATTACAATGATCGCGAGATCGATTCCTCGTATGGTACAAACAATTGTATACATGAGTATGATTGTCTGTATTAGGCTGGGTGTCTTCTATGTATTCCAAAATTTAAATTAACTAAGTGTATAAGTATATCTATCCGATGTCTAGTACTCATAAAACAAGTTTGAGAAAGATAGCGTTGTGTGAATTGTCTATGAATATTATTATTTTGGATGGTCCTTGAGTGGTGGCAACCATATCATGTTGTAACATAAAGCTATGAATTCCGCACGTACTTGTAAGTACGTTTGTACAAATAAGAATGGTCGTCGAAGTCAAATGATACTTTCTAAGTAATCAACGAGCTCCGAATTGACTAGAGTCAATATCACTTCTACCAAACTTTTAGTTGAGTAAACAGACGTGTCTGGACAAATTAATTGTGCTCAATAACTTCATTGGCTGAATTATTGATACACTAGGTACCTATTACATTTTCTTATTTGACGGTAATACCAAACAAGCTAACGATAGGTACTTGACTGAAAGATCGTTACAAGGATACAAAGTCCTTTCACAGCTCCTTTATTTGATAAACCACAAAGTTACCAAGTAAAAAATACATAAATTACGTCAGTACCCCCCCACCGCCATAACCCTCACTCCTAACAAGATGTTAACTTATTTATGGGAAGACCCCTTATGGTAGTCTATTTTCTATGGAAAGGTAACTTAAGAGAACTACCACAGAGGTCCCACGACGATATGATGTCCGCAGTACTGATCACGTATATCAGGGGTCTCCCATCTTTGAAATCTTAAGCATAACATATAGGGACATAATGATTTTCACTGTGTGTTCTAAATGCTAAAACAGTTTTAATTTAAGTATACTAGGGATCTCCAACCTTTAAGGTCTTAGGCACAACTTTTTTTACAGAATGTTCCAAGGATCAAAAGAGTATAAATGTTTCTGTCGTTAACTATATTTCTAGTCGCAAAGTGCTTCACCTAAGACGACACGAGTCTGAAGCTATCGCGGGCCGGATTGATCGTAATGACCGGATTTGGCCTACGGATCCTAGCTTATTATACCCCTTTACCGTTTGGAAAAATCCCCAAAAGGTCGTTTCCCCGTCAGAGGTAACGAGAGGTTGTGTGGGAATTTGAAGACCCCTGACGTATACGAATATTGAGACGTAAATTTTTTGACATTTCAAATACTTGAACAAAATTAAAATTCATAAAGTTATTCTAACTACACGCCATTCCAAACATTTTTCATGCATCCCATAAACATTACTGTCATTATTATTTGCTTCTTCCTTATCCCATTTATTTGGGGTCAGCGTAATACG